TGCATAAGAATTAGAACATCTGATGTTCCATAAGGAAATGGCAAACTCCTTATGAAATGTCAACAGTTCTGATTTTACTAATTGGGTTATCATAAATATATCAGTATATTTCAATTTACGTCATATTCATGCCTCTAACTCCACTGTTTTTTTTAATTTCACCAATATCCTTTTTCTAGTATGGTAACGGGTTATGTTTTCTGCCAATCAAACACCTCTCTAGCACTCCAGAGCGAATCTCATTGATAGCTCATCCCGGAGGTATAAAGGTTTGTAATATTGCTCAAAATGGGAAATTAAGGATACCGTTTGATGACTTTACCAATACTACTGCCCCTACCACTGGAATACGAAAACCCGAGTCAATTAAATTTTAAATTTGTTATTGCCCCAGTTTGATTGCGAACTCCTAGATTTTGTTTACCAAGCTATGTAGTTATCTAATAAATAATGTATTAGAGTGCTTTAATTAGTAACGTATTCAATATAAAGATGGTGTGGTGCATACCAGTTGTAAAAAATAACTCTAACATTTGAGCGCAAGCACGGTCACTGATCTGTAATTTTATTGGAGTGGTGCAGAAATGTTATGGCCATTAATGTGGAGCGTAAGGGAACAGAGTTTGTCGTTACAAGCAGTTATGATCATGCTTTATGTGGAATCAGTAGGACAATGCAGCGTCATAACCCCATTATTATGTCATAGTGTATGTGGTCCTACTTATGGAAATTGTTTCACCTTAGCTTCTTCAGTTCGATAATGATCATTAAGATAAGTCGTTTGGTTAACCAGGACAACGGGGTGGTTTATAGAGGTGTCAAGAATACTCGAACAACTGAGTTACTAGATTCTGTGTTCATATGATCTCGTCACGTGTCTGATTCGAATTTTCCATCAAATATAAAAATCTTAGTGACAATAACTATATTGAGTAACACAGTGTTGAACTTGACCATTTAAATTTTTAGTGATTTCAACTAAAAATTCGAAAACAAATGACAACGAACTATCCTGCTATTTAATGACGACAGTGGCCTTTATCCTCTGAGCTTATTTTATAGTAATGATTGTTTGATTACACATCAATAACGTTTTTTTCTGATTAACTGAATTTATTACAGTCAAAGTAATCTTGTGATGTTTGAATGAATCAATGACTTTTTGGTATTGATGAGTGTTTTGATTTTGAATTCCAAATAAAATACATTAGTTTGTGCTCATTTAATACTTCTTGAATAAATTGCGTTATTCCTGAGATTACTAGTTTACACTAAAATTCAATTACTTCTGATTATCATATACACGCCACTATGACATTGACTGTGATAGCACGCTGCCCTACAAAGTGTCTGATGATACTTGGGGCGATTAGGATGCTGAACATAGCCAGAAGACTTCCTTCAGAAAAAAAGTCAGAAATTCATGAACAGATTTCAGTTTTCGAGCACATAAAGGGCGTTATTAGGAGTCTAGCATTGAATTTGAATGAGACCATCAAATTGAACCCCACTAAAGAACTGGATAACAAGAACACAGATATAGGTATTATTTCAACAAAAAAAGGCTGACTGAGAAGAAACAAATTATAGGCGACACTAAGTTATTTGAATCTACGATTTCTGTTCTAGATTGACCTTTCAACGTAAAATAGTCAGTGGGGGAGCGAAGACTGAGCAGTGTAGATGACGTGATCAACAAGAATAAGAGACAAAGCAAAGTAAATGATCTGCTTACAGTCACACCCAGAAAATGAAAGGCAAACAAACAGAGTGACACCTCTGCAACCGACAGCAAATTAGATTGCAAGGAGCAGAAGACATCATGAAGTAAAACCCAACAATATGGAAGACAGACCCCTCTGACATGTCAGTCGTTTTTCATAAGTTAAGTGAATCTTCCGAAGAAGAACCAAAGGCTGGATTTGAACACAACCTTAGTGACATTGAATCCTTTATAAACAAGCTACAGCCAGAAAAGGTTTCAAAATTCAGCATCTGTATGCTTTATAAAATAGATCGAAAATTGAATTGCGAAAGTACGTAGGCAAGCCCCCGCATAAACGTTACCTTTTCTTCGGATGAAGAAAGAAACATGATAGTGAAAAACACGCGAACGGATTGGATCCGGAATACACGTCCATGAGGATCTCAGCCTGGTTAGTCGTGTTTAGGAGGATTGACGATAATAGAAACAAATGAGAGCTGCCGAAACGGCGAAGAAACCTCGTACTTAAAGGCTTTCAATTTGCAAAAATTCAGAGCGAAAAATCCCTCAAATAATTTTTGTCGTAAGAGAAAGCCCTCCACAAAATGTGTGCTATACAAATTTTTACAGCGTACTGAATGAAATGGAAGAGCATAAGACAATGTCAGAAATAGAAAACTCCGATGACATTGCCATATCAGAAAAATGGTCATCCTCAGATGAGTAGGATAGTGAAATTCAGTTAATCGGTATTTTACGCAATAAGGCTGATAGACCAAACCGTTGGGCTGGTGGGGTTATCCTATATACGAAAATTACCTTAATCATATGAGTTGTTGAGACAGTGGAATACAGCTCAGGGACATGTAAAATGGCAAGCCGAATGCTAGAATGTAAACGACAAAATCTTGAATTAGTTGTAGTATACCGCAGTCCGGAATGTATAGTAGAATAATTCTTCCTAAGCAGAATGGTATTAAAGGCCTTATACTAGGGGACTTTAACCCACCGTATGTTAATTGGGGAAATTAAGAAGTGCTTTTGAACACGTCGTTTGATTACGTATCGTCAAAAACCATACTTGTTCCAGCTTTATTCCGGCACATAAGAGATCCCACCAGATATGAAGTACGAACCCCATCGTCTCTCTTGTATCTGATCTTCACACGGTGATGATATCGGTCAAATAAATTTCCTCCCAACTCTGGGAAGAAGAGATCATGGCGTCTATTAATACACGTTCGTGGCTGATATAGCCCATCAAAAAATTGTCTGTCCAGACATGTTGAAGGCAGACATGGACGCGATCAACTCTGAAGAATCGGCTGAAAATTGGATAACTGACTCAGGAGGATTAGTATAAGAGGTATGAACTTATTTCCGGCAGTTATACAATCAGGCAACTCAATAATTTATCTATAGGACAGTCCGTAAGAAGAAGATGCACGGTCACCACTGAACGTTCACTAAGAAAAAGGAAACAAAATTTTGGAACACTGCCATCAGCTTTAACACAGCGATTGCGATGGAACATTACAGGTCGGTATGCAATAAGTGTATATTAATAATCCGGGAATCACAGAGAAAATATGAGATTCAGCTAGCCTAATATGTGTTCAAACAGCTTAAGAGACAATTCTCGTACACAAATTATAGATCAAGGATGCGGAATTGCATTCTCAACCTATTCACTGAAAGAGTGGATCTAAAATTATAGGAGATGATCAGGAAAAAGTAGAGGCAATAGAAAACCATTTCGGGGCAGTTTTAACTCAGTAGACTTTTCTAGATGAAGAACTAGACTCACTGTGGACTTTGATTGAGACGATGCACTTAAGACTTTTTGCATATTAGACTTGGAAAAGTCAACAGGAAAGGATGAAATACACCACAAAATCCTGAGACCACTTGCACAATATATTGGAACCTCTCTAACTGCGGTATTCAGTATGTCATTTGGCAAAGCTGTGTCCCCTAAAAACTGGAAAGATGCAATCGTCGCTCCAATACATAAAACAGGAGCCAGACAATTCCTATCAATATACATACCCATCAGCTTCATCTGTGTCATAATTAAAATACTCGATAGAATGGTCTGAAAGACCATAATGACATTCGTGGAAACCAACAACTTGTTAAACAGCGAACAATATGGTCTCAGAAAACGTTTATGTTGCGCAAACTATCTCCTGATAGCTAGGAAGCTACGAATAGAGACTGAAGACAATGAAAAATCAGTGACTCATGTCTACATAATTGTCTACATAGCGAATAATTTTTTAAGGTACCAACAAGTAGACTGCTCTCGAAGTTGTAAAATCTGCATGATCTCCCCCAAAATGGCTTGAGGATTTCCTGGTAGGTCCTAGGCGGAAAGTAATAATGAATCCCAAATTCTCTTTCTGGATACCGGTACTTTGTGGAGTAAGTCGTGGCTGTCCTAGGTCTTCTATTTTTTATACAGTATGTAAAGAATCTCCCAAGTATAGCTGAGCCCCCAATGTCACTGCACGCTGATAATGTAAGTATCTGGTAAGAAATAACAGGAGATAAAGACGCATGTCTACTTCACGCAGACCTATATATTGTAATTGGCTAGTCTAAAGAGTGACTGATACCTATCAAAACGACAGTGTGAACATGTACACATTGGGGATACAAAGATAAATGGGTAAAAACATTATATTCCATTCCAAAATGTTACGACCGCATCGGTATGAGAACGAAACACACGATAACTGAACTCATGACCTGTTAAAAGAATATCAAGTAGTTTTTTTTGCATTATCATTTAAATCTATTTGTACAGCTGATGCTATTACGTTGAAGAACCGTGGTGCTATATAAATAATGGTAATGATTTATCCAATAAAATTCTACGTTCATTACATAAAAACGTATTGATTTCATCGATAAATCAATGGCTACTTGAAACTACATCCAATAGTATTATTTGCGTCTTATCCCCCCTACCATAAGAAAAAACCTTCGAAAGTTTGGTACGTGAACATATAATATGGAAAGAAAGGCAGCCATAAAAATTCGTGCAAACTTTACAGTGCTTTGAATCGTTAAAGGAAGGCGCTCAATAATTTCAGACGACGACCAAGCGTATAGCCGTTAACCTATTTATAACATTACACCAGAAGTTTGTCCTCGATTACAGCGTTAATTATTATTAATTTTTAGTCTAAAAGGTGAAAATGAGCACCGCCTTCAGAAACAATATCATTCTTTTATAAGGACAATGTATATTTCATAATATAATGGTATGTATATCTCATAACACAGAATTCGTCGTTCAATATTTCTGTGCACGTTTCAAAATTGCTGAAGGTCGTTTGTCATGTTACTAAAATTATCTCGAAAGAAAAAGCACTTCACATGGTTTATAACAGCTTTCTAACTTGAGTGCACGAAAACAAGGAATGGTCGTCAGCTATACTCACGATGACATTTCAAACTGACCGACTAATCCAACCACACCATATATATATATATATATATATATATATATATATATATATATATATGAGGGTATATTCTGGGTCAGACTTGCTTCTGATCTTGCACCTGTTTTTGATACTAACTATTTCAACCAGATTATCAGTATTAAAATGCTGTGTTTGGTTCCTAAACTTGATGAAAAATCATCGATTATTCAATTAAACACCTAATATAAGATGCTTGAGCTAAACTGGACGGTACCTTACACGACTTATGCATTGCAATGATTATTTGAGGTTGTTAAATGGTTTTTCTCCGCTCTTACTGCTAACTTTCGATTCTGATAATAGATTTGTATACAAAGGTTTGGCAGGACATCATCGCGTTATGGCTTGTCATTGCGTTAATGGAGCTTCAACCCTCATCTAGCTCAACTCTTTTTACATAAGCCTGGTCGTTTTTGCATTGTAGCTTCTGTCAGTTAAGGACGAAAATTCTATAATACTATAGGGTTATATCTCGTGAGTGCTATGCACAACACTGTCCTCCTGATATGTTGACGTTATTTTGTTAATCCTTATTAATTTCCATACAACTTGGCATTTTTTCCTGATTGTCTGATAAAGGGCTCAAGCTCATCAGTACACTAAACCCTTACCTTGATTCATGTCGTTGCTGATTCAGCTTACACAATTTTCATATACTTTCAAACACCAGATTTTATAATCATAATAAAAACCAACTGTTCGTAACCGAAGTACATTGTATCTGAACACAGCGTTACAATGCCACGTATGTCAATGCTGAGTGATGATAACTCATATAAAGTTACTTTCAAACTGACTGATGGTATGGTCATGTGTTTAAAATATGCCAGAAGCTTTTATTTAGTGCTACGATTAACGACTCTTGAACTAAAGAGGTAAGCAGATGAATAGCTAGTCTATGACTCAAGACCGCTTTTTCCAAAGACCAGTAGTGTGGCATCCTTTAGACTCGCGACTCCCTGGCTAGGGTCCTGCAGGTAGTTCAATCCATTGACTTGAGTCGTTTTTCAGATATTGATTGAAACACAACTTTGGTCTTTTAGGTCCCTGATATAATAAAAGGAAACAAACTTCTGCTTCACACGAAAATAGGCCCGTTAGATATATATTCTTTTGTATCTGTGTTTAATTTGAAGCTAATTTCTTAGTACATTCTCGTTAGACTCTCAAAGCCTATCCACGTGATCGCAATTGGAACATCTATTGAGATTCTCACAGAAGCGAGCATATTCATTTCTATAGTATCTTGATATAAAATGGCCGACGGGAGAAAAAATCGAAACAGGATAGCATGACAGTCTTAATTAAAATGCCCAGGAGTAGTAAGATAAGACTTGTAGGTCGAAGTAGGAGTTACGTTATCTTATGCAACTACAAACGTTGGTTATCGGGACAAGTTTCACGTGTTCTAAAGAAGGATGTATAAAGCTACGGCAGTGCAATTTATTTCGTCTTGTTTCAGAGAATTTAGTTTTTAAGACTGTAAAAGTAAGTACGAATATAGAGAAATACTTCATACAATATGAGCGCTATCATGACACTTTATGGGATTGTGGGTTTTCATCAACGCCGGAATGTGTGTAGTTAATGCCCACATCGTTTACCCAGAAAGTTCATATTGGTGAATATAAAGTCCCAAAAAGTTTTCCCGGATAAATTTAGTACATTCTTTTGCTGTTTTACTCGATAACAAATTTAGGTCTAAAATGTTACAACAGCCTATATAACAATAAGTTTGTATTTCAGACAAACTAAAATACCATCAGTTGATATCCATAAAAAGGAGATATTGGCCTTAAACGAAATGGCTTTGTGCACAATTTGTACAAGTGAAACCTCCAAGTATAAATGTCCGAGGTGTATTGCACTATAGTATGCTGAGTTGTCAGTTCACTAATACTTTAGTTGCTCGCTTGCCTGTTACCAAAAACATAAACAAGATGAGTGCAAACCAGAAACCTGTGTACCAAGAGTTGTGCATGCTACTGTCGAACAAGAAGATGAGATGGTCGACTACGTCCCGAAGAAAATCTTGGAAGGCTTAAGTAAGTGTTACTCCTAGTTTCGTTGTCATTTTTACGCAGAATACTCTGATAAGATTCGAGATCTACTGAAGAACCCCCATCTACGGAGTCTCCTTCGATTTTTGAATGATACAAATAAACCGTACTCTGCATTGGAAAATGTTATGCGCGAACCTATTTTCATCGAATTTTCAGATGAATGCCTTAAAATTGTAGACTCAAACTTATAAGTCCAATATATTTCTAATATTTTTAAAAAACAATTTTTCAAGTATTGTCAAATAAAAAATCTTGAACATGGTTCATTCTCTTGTGACTGTGAATTGTTATAAAAGTGTTGATTGGTAAAGTGATTGTGCTGCTTTAACGTCTATGTAGAATTTTGTGCCGGAGTAGCTTTATAACGAATTCTTGTTCGTGATTTATTAAGGTCTGCAGAGTTTGATTTGCACATTTTTATCACAAACAAAAATCAGTTGAAAAATATTTAAAAGTAGATCTTCGCGTATGATTTTCAGGAAGGTTGTTTGTTCATTGATGGATTAATTGGTAGAGTTTTATCATTGGGTTACTACATTTTAGAAGCCTAGTTCGAACAGCTAAGTGCACTAAAATTGCCGAGACTGGATTTCACAAAATTAAGCAGTTAAGCAACATGATGGATATCCGCGAATTTCGGAGGAACTCTTAAAAGTCGCGAACATCTTACTGGTGATAAATTTGAAACTTACGACATTCAACAAACTGCCCAATTTGAAGATTAGAAAACGGTCTGTTTAACTGATTAAGGAAACTCTTTGTACTTTATATGTATCTATCATTAAGATAACTAATAGTTGCCATATTCTGTAAAGATGCATACACAGATAAAACCCCTAACACAGACGTATGGCACTTGAAATGCATGTTTTATTATTTTCCTAGTTGTACAGATTAATGCAACGGCTTAATCAAGTGTGTCAGTTCATTTAACAGTTCTATGCAGATACCAGGACGGATATGAAGCCAGTCCCAAACCTCTCACTTTGTGTAAAAAAATTCGAATCCATATAGTACTAAAGTGAATCCCAACCCAGACAATAAGATATCTAGTCATCGGTGCGATTGCAGCTACTACAGTCGATCTTCAATCGCACTCCGGTTAAGCTCAAATAAGATTTACAAATTTTCTCAGTCTATAACCACGGATTTTGTCAAATATAACATTGACACCCAAGAAATTACATTTTTATAAGTTGTTTTAGTGTCTATTGAATTGTGAATAGCAAAGAAATGCTTGTTTAGACTAAAAAAGATTTTAATTTTTTTGTTGAGAAACTGACCCAATAGAAATAAGATACTGGTATACATGTATTCAAGAAGAAAAGTGAAACCCAAAACACCTTATATTACATAAGTATTAAAAACGAGAAGCAAGTAAATGAATCAAATTGCAAACAAATATTCTGGGAAACACCATTTCAAGAGACTGCTAGAATACGGACTGCACTTTTTTCTACACACGCCATATACGAATGCTTCCATCGTGTGCTGAACTTAACAAGCGATCGTCACTGACCCAACATAATCCAGTGCTATTACTCATAGGATGAGCCGCTTAAAATAAAAAGAAACAATCATGTAGACGACTTCATCAATCCATAGAAAATATTAAATACACCTGTTTGTCATGCTTCATAATTCAGCCAGTGAAGTGCCAGTTTTAAGCTTATTCTGAAAATATAAATATTACCATTATAATCACTCGACGTTACGCTAATACACTAATGTGTATGCTTTTTCCTGGGATAGCTGTATTAATTATCAGTTGTAGTACTAAGTGTATTATCATAGAAACGGATGAATTTTTGGCGGCCTGCTTGAACCTGTTAGCTACCTGTTTCTGCCCTCTAGATATTTCAACAAGTTATCTGTTTTACTTGATTTAACACATCATAATGTTTATTAATCGCACAACCTATTAAGGAGCGTTTATTAAAAGTTTACAACTTTCCGCTGTAAAAGTTGCAAAAAATCCCAATCTGGACATCGTGGGTATTGACAATCTGCAATGAAAAGAATGTATACTATTCAGATGTCGACTCCTGAGCTGCTAATTTCTAGCTGGTGACCACCCAACATTCGTCCTCAGGGTCGACCAAGAAGTAAGAAACGAAAACTTGTTGAAATACTTTGTGCTGAGAATTTCATATTGTACCAAAAATATGATATTGAATAAAACTAATAATATTAAAAAATAAAGTCTCCTAGCTGTAGCTGCGAACCAGACTTTGTGTCGATTTAATGAGGTAGACTGAGCAGATGATAAATTCTAAGATATTAATTCCTACTACAACCATTAAATTAACTACATCTATGAATTTGGTGTTCATCTTGCTGTGCTAATGAGGTATGGCAACTTGAACCGATGTATATGTGTGCCTGGTCCTACGTTGTAGTTGACCGACTGATTCACAAATAGGCACTTAAATAGTTAAACCATCACTAAAAATTCAACCTCCTACTGTGTATTTGTACGACAACTGAATGATTAAGATATAAAGACTAGAAGATATTACATCAAGCAGAAAAACCAATCGATTAGAATTTTATCACGATCGAATAACATCTCAAAAAAAACATATTTCTTTACGATAGTAAAACTAACCTACTATCGCCGTAAATATTCCTCATAAACATACTAAATACAATCATACAGCTCATCAATAATTTGCCGAATGGTTTTTTACAGAATTAGTGTATCAACCATGTAAAATAATCAACTTTACAAATATTTAATGTTCTAAGATACCAATTATCAAGGTAAAATAGTTGTGATTTTCCCAAAATATGGAATACCTGATCACAACTCTACAAATCATTTAATTCAATTCCGACCAGTGTCTTTTGATGGAAGATAAATTTGACATGAAATCACTTACCTTTCAAAGCCACCTGTTTGCTTGGTTCATCTAATGACCAAATAACAATAGAACTATCAATACTTCCAGTGGCCAAGCGACGACCATTTGGACTCCAACTGATACAGGTTATTCTAGCTGAGTGTCTGAGCCACCATTCAGAAAGAGCAGATTTAAGAGTTGGGAGGTCATTTTGATTTCCTTCATAAGTCACCTGGAAGAACAAAAGTAATCAAAGGAAATACATTCAATTAAAAATAAAATTAATCTCACAAATCCCTTGCACTGCTACATCATAGAGTAATGTATCTTGTTTCCACATAAACTTTAAAGAAATATGTCTCAATAACTGATTACCAAATAATGGGGAAAAGGCAGTGGGATTCATGAAAAATTAAAGCAAAATATTAAGACACTACTCCATTTCAAACAATTTGACTGAGCAGCGTGCATAGCGAACGTTACCAATCTGAACAGTAAATAAGCGACTGAAAAGTACAAAAGAGTGGACAAATTGGATGTTTTCTGTTCAAGTTGAAGGTTGTTACCAACTCTGACTTTAAATTATCCTTATGACTCTCATCAGAAAATTCAGTCTACTTGAAGTATATGTTTTTCCCAGTTACTTATCACCATAAAAAGATTTTAACACTTTGTGAACTACCTAAGGGTTGCTTCATAGACTTCACTGAAAACAGTAGTTCAGTTCGTGTATTCTTTAGACAGACCATATGGTACACGTATAACAAACGCTAGTGGTAGACTTTATTTGATAGTTCAACATTAAACTATCATACGATCTATGTATAAGAAATATACAGCAAAGTGTTAGGTATTTCACACATATACCTCTTGTTTATTTAATATCATATTGTTATCATTCTCCTCCTTAGTTGTGTCAACACTGAGTCCTAGGTAATTAAAATTATCAATCACAGTATCCATATTAGTGTAATTTTAAAAATTTATTGATTCATGTCTATAGTACATCTATTTTAAAAAATGTAAAATTGTTATTCAATCACTTAAAAATATTACGTTCTTTAAAAGAAATGCAGGACCTTGAAAACTAAACAACAGTACTAACATAGGGACTATAATGAATAAATTAATAATTTTTACAGATGAAATTGAAAATAATAACTATACAGATAAATATCTTAAAACGTTTTTTAAAGAAGAAGGAAGCAATGCTTAAACGCTGTTTAGTAATAAAGTAATTGGAAAAAAACATATTTTAGAAGGGTTTTTTTGGAGATTTCATTATTCTCATCGTTGAAACCATGAGTCAATTAAAACTAGACCAACATGGAAAACCTAGAAGCACTGCTTGACGGCCGTTTCGTCCTATTATGGGACTTCTCAGCAGTGCGCATCCACGGTCCCGCACCAACGAGATTCGAACCCAGGACCTACCAGTCTCGCGCCAGAACACTTAACCGATAGACCACTGAGCCGGTGTGTTGATGTCTAGCTTCAACCAATCCACGAAGTTGAGCAACCATTCATCAATTGTCTTCAGTGAGTTGATATTCTCTACAACAGACTTGGTAGAACTCCATTGGTCACTGCTTCCCACTAGAACTCCAGGAAATATCCCTTGAAGTCAGTCACTAGTGAGCATGTGATTATATATCAGAAGGGGTTTTGTGGAGATTTCAGTATTTTTATAGTTGAAATCATTTTAAGCAATGATAAATAGGGAAGACATCAATCAAAGAAGCAAGAGTGAAAAAAACATAATCAGAGTTTTAAAAAACAAATGATAAACCTGATTATAAAAGCTATGATGAAAAAAACCACTAAGATGTTCATCTTAGAATATAAGTAAGCGAGGCCAAATCAAAATATTGCATTAATCCTGTGAGATTGTTGATAGACCAATGAATTTAAAACATTAGGTGATATGGTTCAGCATTAGTCTCAATAGTACAAAAGCATCTACTCTTTTTCTATGCCTAGATTCTAAGTTTCATAATTATTTTCTACCTTTAGTTCCGCGAATTATTTCTTTCTTCTTGAATTATATTTTATATACCAGATGGCTTTTTTCACTGGTGCTAGCTTCTACTAATAATAATAATAATAATAACTCGGTAATATTATCTTGTTATGCTAATGTAGTGTGGAAACTCGATTCAATGCATATATGTGCCAGGTTTCACGTTGTTTATGACTAACTGGCTGAGATACCCAATGAACAATTACTAGAAACTCTGAAAGAATAATTCCTTAACAAAAGAATCCACCTTTTCATATGGACTAAAATATAATGACATGTACTGAAAACTTGTTTCCTTCAAGTATATGATTTTAAATAGTTTTACTATGTTTGTTAATATATGTATTATATATAATTCTACCATACCAGTTAATAAAGTCCTTATTTTTACGCATATATTAAAATTCATCTTCTTAAAAAATCAACATTTCGTCCTGGCCGCCTACGAAGAGTAATGGTTGAATGAATATACTATTCGACTTTTGACCATTGGGTTACAGGTTCTACTTAACCAACCACACGATTTCATTGAACCGTACATAAAAAGTGAGACGTAAAAAATTTAACACACAAGCCTACACTTGATAAATAATTTACAATACTATTATTGTTTATATTACTAGTATTAGTGTCACGGAAAAATACTACAACCCTTTTCATGATACTGCACTAAGGTATTTATGAATTTATGAGTTTGTAACAGTGCAGCTAAGCAACAAACTGTAAGAACTTTAATCTAAATTTGAACAAATGGTTCCACAGTAATTGGGCTCCTAGTTAATGTAAGACATTAAGGAGGAAGTTGTTTTTAAAATCTCAGTGATTGAATTTTAAGTAAATTCAACGTTTTGACTAACAGCCGAAGCCCTACACATACGGGAAAATCTAAACAATATGAATACGAAAGATAAAATACAATCAGCTATCTCATGGCAACTAGTAATAAGTCAACCTGAACTCCTTATTCTATTTAATTAATCACTTATTATCTGAATAACAATAATTACATTCAACTATCCTAATCGGTTGGTTTATCTGAGTATATGATAGACAATTAACTTAAATAACAAAATAACACATACATTTATTCCTAGTTTGTTTATTTATCTTCATTTTGTGCATGCTATGACATATCTGACTCATAATATACAAAAATAGTATGTTTTCTTCATAGAAATACCGAACAGAGGCGATAAATAGTCAATGAAATTTCTTCTCGCACCTCAGATCCATTTACGAATACAAACAATTGGTTATCTTAACACATTTTTCGTTATACACCACGACAGCAAATACTTACTTTCAACATTGTTAACATGGTCGGATAACCTATTTAGTATATGGTTAACCGGGGAATCATGTACCTATTTATATTCAGTAATTTTGATGTTTGATTATATTCCCTTGAAAAAGCTTGAAACAGATTGCCGAGTGAAACGTTGGATTTACTTAAAATTCAATCGCTAAGATCTTGCAAAGAAATTCTTCCACCTTAATATCAGGGATGATCGTTAATCTGAGTTGTATTGCCGGTTGGCAATACCTAATTATATATGAAATATACTGACGAGTTGTTTACCCAAAAAGAAAAAAATAACGACTGATATTTGACTTAAAGCCTAATACAACTCAATGCATAAGGGGTAAGATGAAGGGGTAGAATAACTCATCCCCTAATTGGATATTTACCACATTTGAAAGATAATAATGTTTAGACATGATGACAAAATGAATTACACATTATAACGTAGTATCCAATGCATCTAAGCGATTGATTACAAACTAGTATCCTGAATCATAAATCGTGTACATGGATAATCGACTAAAAGTAACAAAAAAGGGACATGTGAAAACATTTCCTGACATATAAAACTAAAATGGATAGATATACTTACGGAGAACAAATTTATTGAATGATCTGGGTTTGCACAAGCTAGTGTTTCATCATTAGGTGAAAAATTGACCACTTCCGGGGTTACATCGGACCCATTGATAAGACTTAATCGTTTTAACTTTTGGTTTGATGATATATGAAACGATGTATTACCTAGATTCTGTTAGTTTTTCAAAAACAAAATCATAAATATAAGTAAAATCATATAGAAGTTGGTTTAATAGCATAAATCATTTATGTCTCTGGACTAGTCAACAGGATATCGGTCAATACTGAGTAATGGATTGATACAAACATTTTGTAGTGAACGAACACTTAGGTGGGGATAACCGGTTTATTGTTTAATCCAAAATTACAGAGTGCTTTCGTAAATTACGAAAACTATAAATTAAATACATAATTCGCAAATATTCCATCGGTTGTCCTTTACATGCTTCATGATTCTTTCAATTCTTTTGTTATCACAATTACTTTCTGTTTTCTTCAATTGAATCTTCCCGATATTCTGCAGGCATGCATTTCCACATCCGATTAGTGCTACATATTGCTTACATCTGTCAACAAAAGTAGCATACACCACAATCTCACTCCAACAAGAGGTCAGTTAAAGCTCAAATGTCTCAGTATTAACGCTTATGACTGCGACAAACGATGATGCAGTTGTAAGTTCCATGACTAGAATCTATTCCCTAATAATGCCATGAACGCGTTGTTGCCATATGAGAAAAAACCTAACGTCTAGGGCCCTCTTCATTGATTGCCTTCAACCATCTAACACAGAAAAAAGTGAAATGTGACATTAAGTCATTTATTTCTATATCTACACCGTAACTTGGTAGATACAATCCGGTTGGTACTAAGGACTAGAAAACATAAAATGGTGTTTTCGAAGCATCGCTTGTGTATTTTGAGATCACCGAGTGAGCAATGCTGAAGTTATGGATAGGGTTCTAGGTAATGATGGCAAATTAGTTCATGAAGCAGTAACCCTTCATCAACTGAGGTGATTGGGACATGTGTTATGTATCTCAAATAACCTCTTACCTCTACACCCGATATTGTCTGGTGTAGGAGTAAACTGAAAGAAAGCCAAGGGATACCAAATCAACACTTGTCACCAGTTCATGAAATCATTTACAAGTTATAACGATTTGAACCAATGCATATACGTGTCAGGTTCTAAGTTACATATGATTCACTGACATAAACTGGTCACCACTTGGTAGCCGATCAATCTATATTTCTGTAATGTATTATGTTTTTCATAATTCTGACAGAATCACTGTTCAATTTGTTAAAGACAAGTGGGCGATATGAACTTCAATAAACAACTTTAATAACTGATAAATGAATATCTATGCTAGTTCACTTCAAACTTACACATATATGATCTAGTTACCTTACGTCACCTATGGCGAAGACGAGATATCCGTCTATCAATTAAGGGACGAGTATACTGCGCAGCAGTTCGCTTTGTTTTATTTTACGGCTGTGAAACATGGCCATTAAGAGGAGATACTAGCAAATTAATAGTATTTGACCACAGAAGTCATAGAAATATTGCTCGCATCTGCTGGGATCACCAGGTAAGTAATAGTGAGGTTAGACGCAGGGTATTAGGGAATGATGGTAAATCAGTTGATGAGGCTATGAATCTTCATCGAATGAGATGGTTGGGCCACGTGTTACGTATGCCTGAACACCGATTACCACGACGCGCAATGTTGACTAGTGTAGGGGATGGTTGGAAGAGAGTTAGGGGCGGTCAAACCAAAACATGGCATCAGTGCTTGAAGTCACTAACTTCTAGTCTGAGCCGTGTTGGTAGATGCAGACTACTTGGTTGGGGTCCGCGTGACTATCGTAACCAATGGTTGGAGACTGTGTGACATGGTTCAGAATCGATCACAATGACGCAGGTGTATACACTCTTTATCTTCCCTTAAACCTTGAGATTAAAATCGCTTCATAACTTCCTTCCTTCCTATACTATATCCTTACATACAACCTATCTTTTATATACTACCACCACTACATTAACTACTTCTATGAATCCGGTGTTCATTTTGTTGTGCTAAGGAGGTATGGCAACTTGGACCGATGCATAAATGTGCCTGGTCCTACATTGTAGCTGACTGACTGAGTGAGTTACCTTACAACGCACGATATGATTCGCTTAACATATTTACAAAATGCATTTAACATATTAGAAAAAATGTCGTGTCTAGTCTATGTACTAAAGTTGGTTAATAATGAGTAGTAAAGATAATGATCATAAATATATGTTACTCTATGTAGAACATAGAAAATAATTCAACTTCTTAGAACAATGACAAGATCTAAAGTAATAATTAAATTATTTAGGTTAAGAAAGATTATCATGCAACAAAATTTTTTTATATATCTAAAATGACTGATTATTTTTTTCGATAATCATCGATCAATAAAGTTACGTATAACCAAATATATACTATTAGATCCGCCATCGTCAACCAATCAAAAAACAGTGTACATATATGGACATATTAAATTTAGTACGTGTACATTTTAATGAATGAAGATTAATAGTTTATAAGTTTTTTTTGTTTTCCAATATATGTAATTAGTATATATATATATATATATTTTACAAAATGATAACCTTTTATAGCAGTCAACTAGAAAAAATTTTTTCTCTTTTATCTTGACCTGGTTCGTATCAAGATTGTACAACATTGTAAAGTCAGAAAGTTAATTCATTTCAACGATGTACAAACTATTGCATCTAATATACAATGAACTAAAGTTTCCTTTGATTGAACAATCTTTGTAATTTATAAAAACTAACTGAAACTATCAGTTAGTCATAGTTTTATTCATTTATTTAAACACATAAATATTGGTACAATGAAGCACCAGATATATATGTGCCACACAAATCTCATTTGATTTGTGTGAGGGTTGTGATACTACCCGGGTACCCAAATCGAAGCAGGTGGTTTTCTTAGGGGGCCACACCCCGAGCGTTTGACCTAAAGGTCTAGTCCACAAGGCCGTGGAGCATCGTGCGGAGATGCAGTCCTATGGTAGACGGTGACCAACGATTGATTAATACGCCATTCATTTCCTCAGGATACTAGAACCCATGTGCACCATTGGTTTGGAATCAGGGTTTTTCAACTCTCCTAGGTGAACTTTCCGTGTCCACCGACCCGGTTAAAGCGCCGGACATTCGCTTTTCGTCCTCTCAATTTTGTGAACAACACACCCGCCACGAAAAGGCAGTGAGTAGGACTTCCCTGGCAGAGGCTATATACGCGTGGCCATGTGAGAGCATTTGGAGAGGGAGAGCGGACTCTCCCCACTCTCGGTCGTACCAGGGCATTTGGGAGCGTTAGTCATAGACCGTATTCAGAAAGTTTGGTTGACCTTTTTTAACTTGTGTCACTTAAGGAGGTGAGAGAAACGTTTTTCTGTCAACCAATGGGTGTATATACTGAGCAACAATCTGCTCTGTATTACTTTATGGCTAAGATGCATAGTCTTTAGAAGTAGATAAGTGTGGTATTCAGGTTTTTTACCATGTATCTTGGAAGCATTGCTAGCGGTTCATCAAACGATCGAGTGAGCAATGTTGAGGTTAGGTATATGGTAACAGACAAACGTGGTAAATAGGTTAATGAAATCGTAAATATTCACCAAGTGATATGGTTGGGTCATGTGTTACGTATACCAAATTATCGCCTACATCGACGCAGTACAATGCTGGTTCTTGTATGAATATGTTGGAAGAATCCAAGAAGTGACACCAGTCTATGAAATTGCCGACTACTAATTTCAGTCATCCCGGCAAATGCTAACTATCTAGTCAGGGGTCCTGTGATAACCACCAACAGTCGTTAGAGACTTGGTGTGGCATGGCTTATAATCGGTCACAATGGTGCAGATGCATCCGCTTTTTATCTTCCTCTGTATATTGAGTTCCATAACTCTTCCATACATACTTTACTACTCTATCCCTTCAGACCAAATTTTCAGAGTTCCTCATTAGCACTACTACTTCATTATTTCGATCTATTTTGCTATGTGTGTCGTTATTTTCATTTATTTGTGCTAATGTGGTATAGCCACGTAAGTCTATGTAAATGTACCAAGTTCTACGTTGATAACGGACTATTCATGGACCACAAAATCTACTCGACTTATTTAAATTTAAAAAAGAAATAGGAATGGTTTAAAGAACAGTACGTGAACCTACAATTGAGCAGGCAATAATTTGCTCTGTAATATATATATTGAAAATAACACTAACCTGTGATCCAACAACAATTAATGACAACTTTTTTGAAATACTCATTGTAGATATTCCTAGCGAAACGTCTAGCTGATCTAACAGTACTAATGAATTATTTTTAAGCTCCAATAAAACCATATGTTCAATACATGAAACAATGATTAATAAACATTTTGATTCCACGGATTGTACACAACGAGGTTGAGATGGAAGCTTTGTAGATATCCTAGAAATGAAAATCAATATATATATATATATATATATATATATATATATATAAAGAACTAGAATATGGTTTACATAAAGATATAATGTCCAAAATGTATGATTAATTGTCCTCATACTAAACTGTTTCGCATAAAAGTACTAATGACACAAACGCTAGACATACGTATATCAATAAAAACATTGTTTTCTGTTTAACTACTGACAAATAAACAGAGGGAAAAAACAATTACAAATAGTCATAATGTTAATTGTAAGAGTATTGAGTTTACTCTTGTAAAGTGAAAATAAGTGATAGAATAACTGAAATGCATTCATTCTTCACCTTCTCTTACTTTTTGAATCGTGATATCTGCTTATTATCTTGTTGAACTAACACAGCGTGACAACTTAAACGGACGTACATACGTGTCACGTTTTACGTTGCTTATGTCTGTTATTATTGTTTTTGTTCTTTGTAAGAAATTTTTTTCGAATTATCCTCTACGAGATGTGAAAATATAGATTGAGTCCTTAAACAACAAAGGCGCTTCTTATTATACAAGGTCTTTATTTCCATGGTTTAAAAATTAAAACAAATTATAATAAGTACTGAAAAATATTTTACTGCTTTATTATTGATAGTACAGACAAAATTCGTTTATTTAATCAAACAAGAAATTTATTTAGAAAGAAAAAACAAACAAAATATTATGTTTATTTAAGAGTGAATAGACATGAATCCACCAAACCTTACCTAATAACACAGTGAATACAGATTAGAGGTAACATACTGATATAACCGATGTAACTAAACAAAATATATAGATATGTTATGTTAAGGTATCAAAATTCATACCTATTTGATGATAAAGAAAAATACATATGAGGGTTATAATAGAACGAGAGTCTACGTATCTATATGTAAAACAATAAGTAATGTGAACATTTCACATTCCAACCACATATAAATGTGAGAATAGTACTAATATTATGATGGCTATAATCTATTTTGCGTGGCACTTAGGATTTTTAACTATTAGTGATTAAAATTACTTGAAGTCGGACACTCATATTGCATTACTGATAATCAAGGAACAAAAATATATCACAGTCCAGCCTCCAATATGTTTTCACACCTACGTTAAAAATTTTACTTTACATTAGAAGTCATAAATTGGTCTCGAAACCTCAATACTAAAGATTACGGCATATGATGTGAGTTGAATGGTCTTTTTCAACCGAAAGTTTAATAATACCAATATTGAATGATAGAACATCACTCATAAAACGTGAATAACTAATTTTTTGTAAACTTAAGATCCGATGGTTTATTTGTAGGTTTCTTACGACAACATTTCGGGACGTAAATATAAGAACTGTGGAATGTGGCAGAGATAACACACCATCGGGACCAAAACAGAAGATATGTTTAACTAAGAAAGTCTATTTCTCAGTATCACAAATATCAGCAGTAAAATACTTCTCATTAATACGACATTTTGTGAAGCAGCGAATAAGTGGATTATCAGTTTCTAAATACAACTGAGACTTTTAGAGAAGCATTTCTCAAAGCAGCACAGCTAGCTGATTGCATTAGAAACATTAACTTAACTATTCTATGTTATAATGATTAGTCGATACTTAACGAAGTGAAACTTTGGAAGGAACTCAAAGTGCTGAAACATCATAAAACAAAAAATTCATCTAATTTAAACTGGTTCCTTTAGAAAGCTACGTTCCAAAATCTAGGTTGAATAATCAGAAAGATATAATGAACTGTTACTGTAAAGTGTGATTATTACGGTATTCGTTTCTTAAGAAGACTAACAAACGCATAAGAAAATTACGTGCGTAAATTTCCTACCAATTTTTCTTAAAAACATTAAATGTTATGATGGCTACTGTATAGATTTTACAAAACAGGTAATGCGATGAACTGTAATGAAAATGCCAAGTTTCGTTCGCCTTCCATACTTTGTCGAATGCCTTAATACCGTTAGTTCGTTGGATAAAAATGTGATTTGAAATTATGTGTCAGAAAGTAATGTCCCAGAGCATTTTAATATATCGTTATAGAGTAAAATGAAAGCGTCTAAATATCCATTTCTAATAACCCAAATCACAATTTTTGTCCAATCATATCATTCCTACTTGATTTGCACATCGCTTATATTTTCAATGGAAAGTGAGTAGGGATTAATTAGACCTACATTACATAATCCGATTCCAAAGTATTTTTGCGATATAGTTAGTGATATGAACCTATGAAAGCTCATGAAAGTTGTCCGTCGTAAGTATTCGAAAGCTCATTTTATGTGAATAACTTTTTGGATGGTAATAAAAGTGCAGTGGCTGAAATTGCTTTACAAAGTTTAAATCCACTAGGTCTTTCTGTAAATTGTTTAACGCCTTCGTGTATATAGTTCCACTTTATACCTACGGTCCCTGTCATAACGAATTAGATACATTAAACATATGTTTGATTATTGCTATCTTTTCATAATTGCTCGAACTCGATGGTAAAATTGTATAATTATTACTGATAATGAGCGGAAATTATCTAGGAACTATGCGCACCGTTTATTCATAATCAAACCACCTTAAAACGTCATATTCAGTCGAATAGAAATATTTTAGATGAGAAGTTTCTAAAGCTGTTACGTGAAACACTGACTTCCAGCGCTAAACTTGGATGAAGCATAGCAGATGTGGTTGGGTCTCTGACATGACATCATGAAATGGGTAATAGCTGTTGCTGGTTTATCATGCATTGATATACCTCGATTCCCCTAATGTATTACTGGAGACTGTGTAGCTCAGAGGTTTAAGACGTAATCAGATACGACTTACATCAATGGAAATCATGTTGTAACAAGACGAAAAACACTTCTTGAATCTATTTTATATGACTATGGCAAACATCTTTACCATTTAAAGACTTATTTTGTTAAATATTTGAAGTATTATGTTCAACATCTTTGGATTATTATGATTTTGCTATGAAATAAATATATGAAGTCCAACATAACAAACCCTTATTACACTGAACAAGTCCAACGCTCCCAGACTTCATGTTTATCTACTCAGTCAACTATATTTTGGATGGGAAATACTTTATACAGTTAGAAAGACAAGGTGAAAAAAATAAACTTACATATGTTTTAGTTCACTTATAGAACTGACAACACATCGATCATCGATACCAACAGTGATCACATATTTTCCCAAAAGCGATATTGATTGTACTTGTGAAGTATGAGCTTCTGTACCAGAAAACATTTCAGCTAGACCAGTTGATATATCCCAAGATGCCATTGACCCGTCAGAACTTGCAGTAATCAGACGGTTATTAAGCGTGCTAAACCTTGCGCAGGTTATATGAAGTTTATGCCCATGTATAGAAAATTTTGGTGGAGAGAGAGACTTTGATCCAGGTGGAACATCAAATACATGAATCGAACCACCTAAAGATACGGCAGCAACTTTATTGCCTACCCATGTACAACCGAGCTGAAGAATAATAAAGTTATAAAGTGATATATTATGAAGAGAAAAACCCTTCTAAGATTACTACCTGTTTTAAGCTCGAGCAAAGGAGGATTGAGCGTAGGGCTAGCAACCTCAACTCATTAATAAGAATCTCACTAATAAGCATTAGCCCGAAAAAAACACTTAAGCCGTTTAAAATCTGCCCTTTGAGTTGGAGGATTTTCACTTACAAGAGTTATGACGCATCATGACGAAAGCCGAGATCCTTCTGAAGTCATGAGGCATATACCTATTCTGAAAAGCAGAGCGACAATCAATAAAGAGACATGCAATGTTCGGGCAATTTGAGAGACCAAGAAGGCCATACAAACGAACTCAGAAGGGAGAAGATAAAACCCATTGGACACAATATGAACAAGAAAGACTAACTTCAAGATAGCTGTTGTGTTCTGGTGATGAAGAAGAAAATGCACTAAACACTAAAGGAGTTGCACTAATGCCGTTTAAGGAAGTATAAAGTGCACTTATGGAGTCAGAAAAGTATGGCTGCAGGACCATAAGAGCATCCTTCGAAGCAAAGGAATGGATTACAATGAATTTTATCCAGTACTACGTGCACCCGCCTATTATAGGAATGAAGATGACGAAAATCAGTTTTGTGGGAGGGTGAAGCTTATCCTATAGAAATGTACAGAAAAAGACTTGATCATCCTGATGAAAGACCTAAATGCCGAAATCGGGGACGACAATACCGGGTATAAATGCATCAAAGAGCGACATGAACAGGGAGAAACGACAATGATAAGAGATTAATAGATATATGCGCTTTCATAAATATGGTTATGGAGGAAGCATTTTGTCTTAAAAACGTCTACAAAAAGCTACATGGGGTTTATTGGACCACATTGCCGTAAACTAGACCGATTACATAAGCATAAGTAGAAAATTCAAAAGGTCTAAGAATAAAGAAAGGGGTTGATATGTATTCAGGTCACCACCAGGTGGTGACCAGGCTAAAACTGAAGATAAAGAAGCATGATACAATAGGATGAGCAGCACTACAAACGTTTATTAAGGCCTTTCTTTGGGATGGTGACGGCGAACACTCAGGATTTAGAATATTAGATATATGAAAGGAAGGATACACAATTTGGGAATAAAGAGAGTGAAAAAGCGACGTAGTAAATAATAATAATAATAATAATAATAATAATAATAATAATGGTGATAATAATAATAATGTAAAGTGTCTTTCATCTATTAGGAACGAGAGCAGTGTAGTTAGTGTAGTGCGTCATTTCATGTCATTTGTGTGTGGGGTGTGATACTGCCCGGGTGCCCAAACCGAAGCAGGTGGTTTTCTTAGGGGGCCACACCCCGAGCCTTTGACCTAAAGGTCTGATCCACAAGGCAGTGGAGCATCGTGAGGAGATACAGTCCCATGGTAGCCGGTGACCAACAGTAGGTTCATTCGCTATTCGTTCCATCAGGATACTGGAGCCCATGTGCACCATTGGTTTGGAATCAGGGTTTTCCAACTCTCCTAGGTGGACCCTCCGTGTCCACCAACCCGGTTATAGCGCCGGACATTCGCTTTTCGTCCTCTCACTGTCGTAAACAACACACCCGCCACGAGAAGGCAGTGAGTAGGACTTCCCTGGTAGAGGCTATATATTCGCGTGGCCATGTGAGAGCATTTCGAGAGGGAGAGTGGACTCTCCCCACTATCGGCCGTACTAGGGCATTTGGAGGCTATCTTCCCTTAAACCTTGAGATTAAAATTGCTTAATAACGTTCTTCATTGCTATACTATATTCTTATATACTACCACCACTAAATTAACTATTTCTATGAATCCGGTGTTGATCTTGTTGTGCTAACGAGCTATAGCAACTTGGATCGATGCATAAATATGCCTGGTCCTACGTTGTGACTGACTGTTATCATATCCACAGAAACAAAGGCAGGTGAAGACAGTCAGTGTGGCAGCAGCTTTCGCAGAAATAGATTTCGACATTTATCGGGGAGCCTCTGCCAGGGAAGTCCTACTCACTGCCTTCTCGCACCAAGGGCGTTGTTTACGAAATTGAGAGGACGAAAAGCGAATGTCCGGTGCTTTAACCGGGTTGGTGGACAAGGCGAGTCTACCTATGGTAGTTGGAAAACCCTGAATCTAAACCAATGGTGCACATGGGCTACAGTATCCTGAAGGAACAAATGGCGTACGAATCAATCATTGAACACCGGTTGCCATGGGACTGCATCTCCTCACGATGCTCCACTGCCTTGTGGACTAGACCTTCAGGTCAAAGGCTCTGGGTTTGCCCCCCTAAGAAAACCACCTGCTTCAGTTTGGGCACCTGAGCAGTACCACAGCCCTTACACAAATCGAATGAGATTTGTGTGGCACATATATATCTGGTGCTTCATTGTACCAATATTTATGTGTTTAAATAAGTAAATAATTTGTAGGGGAAAAGGTATGATCTTGAAGTGCAATAGTTAGTATCAATCGAATCGCACAGGATTGTGAGTTTTAGTGGTTTCGTCACACTAGTGACAGGCGCATTACTATCTCACACCAAGTTTACCAACAAAATTTAAACATCTGTAGGGACACTATATTTTTTAGTGAATGTGGTTTAAAGCCCAATGAATTAAACAGGATATATTTACAGAGAAAAAGACTACGAAAATTAATCAACATTTAATCCTGAGCAATAAATTATTGTCTACAATGATAAACCTAAAAATCTGACTGTGTATTTGTTTTGATATCCAAAAAACACATCACACTCAAGTAGTCATGGCTTAATTCTTTTTCATTCGCAATAGCATAATTTAAAACAGACTTCCTATATATTTTTCATCATAACTTACTTCAGGCCATGAAATCAGTCTTGAACATTTTAAAATTTCTAACATAAGAGATCAGTATATTTCAAGTGCTATGCATGTCACATTTACTTTAAAACTGATACACTAACAGTATAAATACAACTAAATAGAGTATTATGCAACCAGTGTGTCAAACGAAATTAGAAATGAATAACCAAACTTACTAGCATATTCATTAAAACGTTTTCAAATGAATACTTTGAAAGATAAGAAAGATTTTTAGCTTCAACACTCCACAATTTGATAGACTTGTCTGCAGAAGCGGAAACACACAGAGGACTTTGCCGTGAGAATGAAATAGCATAGACTCCTCCTTCATGAGCTGGACTTCCAACTTCAGATAGTTTCTCACCACTTTCACCATCGTGAAGGCATATCTAGAAAAAATCATATTTTAGAGAATGATTACCTTCCCATCTGTCCCACCGGAAACAAAAAATGATCCATTTAACGAGTACCGAACCACATTGACAAAACCTTTATGATTCTAGAAATAAGGTAAGATATAAACGTGAGGTCACACTTGAAAAGAGTTTTTGAGTGAAAATGGAGGGCCCTCAAGGAAAGTCACTAATCCCTCATCGTTTCCAGTAATTGCACGGTAGGGTCGAACAGGTCGGAAATCGACGGAGTTGATACTTTTGCTTATGCCTGTAACTGTACCCACAGACGTTCCTGTTTCAACCATGAATACTGCTCCGAACCTTGAAATGAAACAAATGTTCGATACATGATTTACTTTGAAGCACCGCTGCCACCAACAAGCATACGAGCGTTATCCGAAGTCCAGGCCAAATCATTTATAGGACCCATGAATGGTTGGTATTCATGTTTTAGCACGTGCTCCTCGTTGATAGTATCCCATATTCGTACTTTTCCGTTATTATCTAGGACCTCATGGAATTTTAAAAGTCCTTACCTGCTGAAGCTATATAAAATCCACTGGGTGAATATTTTGCAACATTTACTGCTACTGAGTGCTGAGTGTACATATCATTATCAGCAGGATTCTAAAGCAAATAATAGAGTAGAACCAAACAACCTCAATTGAACGAATAACGACACTGTTCCCAGTGACATATATAAGCTTTTTGCCTTTGGGATCTGCATCGAAAATGAGTGATTTGCCCCTAACTACTCGAGGGAGTGGGGGAAAGATCTTTTCTACAAACTCAATTAAGCAGATATGTGTAAACGAACCTAAAGTATACATAACCAAATCCTACTAATGGCGAAACAGTGTGATCAAGACTGACTTAGTAGATACTGCGGCACAAACCTCACAAACTCACCATCAAGATGAGCTCGAAATAGCGCCAACCTTGTTTTGACTTGTTGTAGGTCACTTTAGATAGAACCGAAGCTTTCAAACGACGCTAAATGTTTGACAGCCGCAAAGTAGGTTACGTAAGTGAACTTATTGACTTATCCTAAAATTTAGATCGACAAGTCATCACTTAGCCTTACATGCACTAATGAGTCGATCATGATACTAAAAGTGACTTCATGGTCGTGAAATAAATGTCAAACATGGACATAAAAAATTGTCCAGATGTTATATAGAAGCTAAAGTCTTGGTCTGATTATAAACTGAAAGTGGCTATAACTTAAAACCGCAAGACACATTTTAATCGAGACTATGTTTGCTACTCTAATGAAACTTTATGAATGGATGCAGATCCAAACTAAGAAACGACCTCATGGTGCTAAAGGAAAGCCAGACCTCCAGAATGTAGCCGAAAAATTGAATACTGATCATACTGGCAGGTCGTTTGTCTTTCATAGAGTCAAAGAAAGTGAAAGCTCATAACCCAGAACTCGTTTTGTGCATGACATTAAGTTGATAAAACAGCTACTAAGCCAGCTAATACATCAAGATATCTCTAGAGTCACCCTGCGAAATGAACCTGAAACCAGACTACTAAAAGTATCATTTAAATACCCCAGAGAAAGGGACTTGATACTACAGAGTAGAATTAAATGAATAGGGTCATCAGTTTTCTTCCGTAAATACTTACCGCTTTTGGACCGTATAAAGAGACCAGAGGCTATAAAAACTAAAACTAAGTTTAGATGCTAGTGAGAACGCCTTTACGACAGTAATTTCTTGAGGCTTCGACAGAGAGTGATGCTGAAGCCTCTTTTGGTGAAACACGAAGCCATTTTAATGGACTCTGGATCTTTTACGCAAATGCTCGGAGTTTTCTCAACAAGCGATCAGAAATAAATGTACAGATAGACTCTATGAGGCCGGACGTAGTCCCAGTCGCAGAAACGTGGCCGATGCAGTCTGTAGACAGTAGGGAACTTGATTTTGAAGGTTCCATACTCGTGAGAGCCGACAGAACCCGGAAGTGCAAAAAAGGAGTAACTCTATTCTCCAAGAGTATTATCCCATTTGCCGTCATTGATAACATGCCCCATGAAATTGTGGTCTGTGAATTAGTTAGTTCCCGCTTGAAGTGCAAAGGATAAGAGCTGATGATTTGTTTGGTATACCGCATTTCAAACTGTGAGGTCAATGAGGTTTTGCCAGACGGTCTCAGTACTTGGTCACTTTGTCGCTGTTTCATCCTAGGAGACTATATAAATAATTATATCTCTGGCTCAAATGTGTTCTTCGGAAGCGCTTAACATTATATTTCTGTTTCAAATTAGGAATAGTCTGTATGGACAATGGTATGACTCACATGTAAGATCTTATAGATTAGGTTGTGGCATAATGAAAAACCTACAATTTTGGGATTGGGTCTATTATTAAAGTAACAAAGTGTACTAATACAGTATTAGAACATAATCATATGTCACAAAACTCCATTGCAAGCTACCCTTAGGTGAAAGTGACCATGCGGTTCTAGCCTTTGATTTCTATTTAATTGTCGATAAGGAAGATGTACCAGCTCACGCCAGGCATCAAGGAACATGTACAAGTTATTATACACTTAGCATCCTCAGTAAATTTGTCAAATTGGTCAGATTCCCAGATTGAAAAGGCTGGGCATGTATTCATAAATCTATACATTGAAGTCGCTGCACCACACATCCCTTGGGCTACGCCAAGAAGTCCGAGAAACTCTCCTCCGTGGTTCAGTTAAGAGGTCTGCAACCTTCTCCATTAACCGAGAAGGATGTTGGAGAGATTAGGGTTATTGTATACCGATGAGACAAAGTCATAATATAGGAGAGCTTGCAATATCTTTTTCCTCGACACTCTGCAGGTCTAGAATATTGTTCAAATAAAACCTTGTTAAGGAGTATATAGAATGCCTTAAACACTTGTACTCGTACATAAAACAAAGGACGTGAAAGAGAGACGATTCAGTAGTATTGTACCATTAGTAGAGAACGTTTGTAGTAAAGCTCAAGTATCCTCAAATTGCTTTAGCAATGTATGTTCCACAAAGAGACGCCTTCCCCTTTAGTTCATCCAAAACCGAATACATACTAGACACTGTGACCGTTAAAGAACTTGATATCTTTGGTCTGCTAAATAAGCTTAATGTAGGCAAATCTACGGAACGCTATGAAATACAACCTAGGTTACTGAAGGAATCAGCAAATTTCTTCGAAAATCTCTTAAGCATATGCTTCAGTCTATCTGCAATCCATGGTTGATTACTGAAAGACTAAAGGAACGCCACTATAGGTCCTGTCTTCAAAACAGGTGCAAGACATAAACTTGAGGACAATCGCCCATAAGCCCGCCAAGCGTGTTTGTTAAAATTTTAGAAAAGATTATTCGGAAGTTTTTTAAAGGCCTCAACGAAAATATGATTCTTCCTGAAAAGCAACATGTCTTTAGAATTGGTTATTTCTGTCTCACTAACTTATCACTATACGTCAACTTCATTGACTATGAGAAGGAGTTTGACGGCGTGGACATGAGAACATTATGGAAACTTCTTCGACACTATGGAGTTTCTGAAAAGATTGTCAACATTATCCAAAACTCATACGATGGACTACATTGCAAAGTCATGCATGGAGGACAGCTGACAGATGCATTTCCAGTAAGGATCGGAGTCAGACAAGGCTGTCTACTCTCCCCATTCCTCTTCCTTCTAGTGATTGACTGGATTATGAAGAATTCGACATCTGAAGGGAAATACGGAATACAATGGACTTCTCAGAATCAATTAGATGATTTGGACTTCGCAGATGACCTAGCCCTCCTCTCTCATACACACGAACAAATGCAGATGAAGACCGCAAATGTAGCAGCAGCCTCCGCATCGATAGGCCTCCACATTCAGAAAGGAAAAAACAAGATTCTCAAATGCAACACGGAGAACACCAACCCAATCACACTTGATGGTGAAACTCTGAAAGAGATGGAAACATTCAAGTACCTGGGGAGCATCGTTGATAAACAAGGAGGATGGGATGCAGATGTAAAGGCGAGGATTGGCAAAGCAAGGGCAGCGTTTCTACAATTGAAGAACATATGAAACTCAAAACAACTCTCAACCAATTTCAAGGTCAGAATCTGTAATACGAACGTCAAGACAGTCCTACTGTACGGAGCTGGAACGTGGAGAACTACTACGACCATCATCAGGGAGGTACAAGTATTTATAAATAGTTGTCTAAGCAAATTACTCAACATCCATTGGCCGGATACTACCAGCAACAGCGTTTTATGTGAGAGGATAAACCAGCTTCCAGATGAAGAGGAAATTAGGAAAAGACATTGGAAGTGGCCCGGACATACATTAAGGAAATCACCAGTGTGCATCACGACTCAATCCCTAACTTGGAATCCGGAAGGGAAGCGGAAAAGATGAAGGCCAAAGAACACACTACGCCGGGAAATAGAAGCCGATATGAAAAGGATGAATGGCAACTGGAAAGAACTGGAAAGGAAGGCTCAGGACAGAGTTGGATGGAGAATGCTGGTGAGCGGCCTATGCTCCTCGACGAGGGGTAACAGGCGTAAGTAAGTAAGCAAGTAACTTATTAGCAGCTTTTGAAAGTTTGTGTACTCATAAAGAACAAAATTTACCTATAGACATAGCCCAAAATTGGCTTCAGCAATGCTTTTGACAACGTTCCTCACAACCGACTGTTATATGAGCTAAGTAATATCGGGATTAGGGGCAATTTATTAGTGTAGATAAAGGGCTTGCTAGTTGGACGGAAACAAAGAGCGTGGGTGAACTTAAAGTTGTCTAGCTGGAAAACTGAGGCTGGTGAATTGCCTCAGGGTACAGTTTTTGGACCAAAGCTGTCCCTATTGTAAGTAAATGACATTCCCAGTCCCCTAGTATCACCGGTCTTACTATATACTAACGATATCAAGGTATGAGGAGTGATGAAATGTAAAAGTGATAGATTGGAACTTCAAAATGACTTGAAGAAATTATATAAATCGTCTAAACTCTGACAGTTGTCTATAAATTCTTCCAAATGCATTGCGATGCATATTAGTCACCTAGATACAGATGAATACATGGTTAATAACATTGACACGAAATGGCTTAGGAGTCATCCTTAGACGAGACTTAAAAAACATTTCACACTGTTGTGAGATCACCATCAAAGGTTTGGAAACCCTATGGTCAATACGAAGGGTCTTTAGCCATGTCGATGATAAAACTTTTTTGACTTTGTACACAGTATCCGTTCGTCTTAAGCTGAAGTACTGCAAACAAGTGGCTAGCCCCTGTCTAAAAAGACAGTGATCTGTTTAAAAAAATTAAAGAACCGCAGCTAAGCCGATTCCAGAAATAGCAAAACTCCTATATGATGCCCGAGTGGCTAAACCAAAACTATTTTCACTGTCATATGGAAGAATTGGATCAGCTTAATCACAATTTTAAACTACTTTGTGATAAATTGGCATCTGATATGCCGTCACTTTTCTTGGCTTTCAAAACAGAGTTTGCGAGGATACTCTAAAGAGTGCACAAGCCCAGGACAAATCACTTGTCAGCTGACTATCAACGTTCCCATAGGTTCACCTACGAATGAAATTCATTACCTCAACACGAGGCTAAAGCTACATCTGTCGATGCCTTCGAAGGAAAGCTGAATCAAATGAGAGACCGACATTGCCAGGACTAAGACAGGTCACCTAGCATCTTGTCACTTTCAAAATGAAACTGAAATGAATTTCAGGTTTCGTCAGTAAACCTAGTGAACTGATTGTTCCTTGTGGTCATCGCGTAAATAGAGAGATATGACTTTTCTCATACTCCGCTTAGAAACTGGAGGGCATAATATTTTAGTGAATAATAGGAGTGGTCGGGACTAACACTACAAAGTCTCCCTTAGTTCTTGCATAGTAGGAGTAATTGTCATATCTTTAAAAAATTCACCTTTCGATATATAGTTCGAGAACCTTTTGAATTAAACAGGAAAAATATTCTCATAAATTTTTGTGTAGCTCTTTTGTGTTCTTTCTTGAGTGACATCATCTGGACCAACTATTCACCTCCGGATCACACTACCACCTATGTAAAGGAGAAATGGAGTGTCTAGAAGGTTAGGCAGGTCGACTGTGGGCATAAGAAAGAGGAGTGGTCTAAGGACACAATCTAATGACACCCTGATCAATACGACTATTCTCTTTATTTCAGTCGGAAGGTACTTAACCTTTTATTAAGGGACCCTTTCAGAAAGTAATAAGAGGAAAGCAAAGAAAGCCTACACATTCTTTCAGTAATCTGAGTCGTATACCACATGAGCCAGAAAATTTCTATGTGTTTATGCGCCTCATAACTGATTTTTAGTTCAGATTACATGAAATTTAGGTCGTCATATGAAAACGTGGGGTGAGAGTCTTCGGAAAGAGGTGTAATGGTCTGAGTATCGCTAGGCTGAAATCTGACCAGCAGCCTAGTAATAATATAGTTAGAGCTTGTAGTGACCTACTTTTTATGACGAGAACGCGATTGGTGTAATGGAAACAATTATTATTATGACCAATTGTACCAGCGATTGTTTTACTGTACTTGTCTGTTTAACTGTACCAAAAGCACTTTTCCTTCCGTTGTCCATTTCGCTTGTACGAACGAGCTTACGCATCACCGTCTTGCCTGTAATCTTTGGCGCGTCTCGGTATTCTTTCGATACCACGAGATCGCCAACAAATATATCTTATCTGGACCATTAACAGCTTTCTGGTTTTTTAGCCTACTAAGGGATCCAAGTCGATATCTGGCACATAATCTTATTGTAGTAGTGATCATAGTCAATAGCAGCTCAATGCCATCTACATCTTGTGAGCCAAATTTTCGAAAACGTTTCAAACTTTGGCAAACCTTCAAAAGAAGGTTACTACAGTGAGTTTATTATCTATCTATCTGCTTTTGTTGCACGTATTCGTACCGATATTTTTCAAAATATAATATTCTGGTAACAACTCAATATGGTGGACAACGATAAGAATAGCATTGACATAATAGACTCAGAAGTACAGGCAATAAGTTTTCGACCTGTTCCGTTTATCCCCCACGATCCACAAGCTTGGTTCGCGGCACTGGAATCTCAATTCGAGATCCGCCGCATAACGAACCAATGGCAGAAGTATGCCTACGCTCTTGAAACTCTGCCTATGTATCACTTAACTGCTGTCCGTGAGGTTGTTCTCAGTGCAAATGTGCCTAACATCTACGATCGTCTCAAGGAGGATATCCTTGGACATTTCCTGCCTACAAGGGAAAAACGACTGAGGACTGTATTAGCACGTCAGCCCATAGGTGATGCTAGACCAAGCCACCACCTCACGCACCTGCAATCTTCTTCAGGAAATACGACAACCGATTCCGAAATCGTTAAGGAACTATGACTCCAATCATTACCAGCACATATGCAACCAACTATTACGGCTCTTCTCGAGTAACCCCACTCAACCAGGTGGCCCTCATAGCAGATAAGATACTGGCACAGACTAGCATCTGAGACGACTATATATTTGTCTATTCACGTGGGATGCAGCCAACCGACAGTTGGTCGGACAGTAAGTTCATGGGTTTTAAAGCTCAAACAAACATGCACAGAATCACAGGTGTGCTTCATTCGCATGACGATGTATTACACGCTTTATTCCGGAAATTTCCCCAAGTAACTAAGCCTCGCCGAGTTGCTCTGGACAAATTAGCTTTCGCAAGACGTGAGTTTGACAATTTACTAGCTACTGGTATTGTTCGTCTTTCTCACAGTCCCTGGGCCTCACCTCTCCACATGATAAGCAAAAAGGATGGGTTAGTTGAAGACCATGTGGAGACAACCGAGCATTATACACAGCTACGCATTTCAATAGCTACCTCACTCCCCACATACATGACATCACGAATCATTAAAGGGCACGACTATTTTTTCTAAGGCCGATGTGGTACGAGCATATCACCAGATCCCAGTCGCTCTAAAAGACATCGAGAAAACCGCTATCACAACTCCTTTCGGTCTGTTTGAGCTCCTACGAATGCCATTTGGATTACGGAATGCTGCTCAAACATTCCAAAGGTTTATCGATAGCATAGTATGAGACCTAGATTTTGTCTACGTCTATATTGATGATCTGCTAATCGCATTATCAAACGTAGATGAACATTATCAGCGCCTTTTGAATAATAGAATAATATTCAACCCCGACAAGTGTGAAATTGGGAGAAATGAAATAAAATTCTCATGTCATGTTATTAATCAAGAGGATATTCTTCCTTGTGAGGACAAAGTATGTGCAATAATGGAGTACACTTTACCGTCCACACTCAAGGAACTGAAGGCATTTCTCAGTTTGGTCAACTTCTACCAACGTTTCATCCCGCACACAGCAGAACGGTTACAAACATTAACCGACTTACTTCGCGGTAATCCACGCAAATTGGAATTGAACGATGCCGTGCATATTGCATTTTCAGAGATAAAGACAGCCCTAGTTCAAACCACACTTCTCACTCGTCCTGACCCATAAACCACGCTTAGTATCGCGGTTGATGCATCGAATTTCGCCATAGGAGCCGTTATGCAACAAAACATCTCCGGAAGTTGGCAACCTTCGAATTTTTCTCATGACGCCTCACTTCCACGGAGACGAGATATAGAGCTTTAGGTCGTAAACTGTTAGCAGCCTAATGTTCCGTCAGACATTTCCGACACGCAGTAGAAGATCGCAATTTCATCTTATTCACCGACCATAAGCCTTTTACGTATGCTCTGCATACTAAGTCTGACCACTACTCACCACGGGAGTGCAGATATTTGGACTATATCTCTCAGTTCACGACAGCCCTTCGTCAAGTGTACGGCGAGTCGAACTATGTTTCCGATGCTCTGTCAGGTATCCAAGTAAATGCAGTTACTTTACCGGTGCTCGATCTCCCTGCTACAGCCGCCTACCAAGCAAGCGATCCCTCCTGTACGGAAGTACAACATTCTACATCCTTTCAGTGCCGGGAAGTAGCCCCTCTAGTGTCAACTCGAATACAACATCGACAGGTCTCTCTCACTCGACAGTTATCTACCTATCCACATGTTTTCATACGAGTAGATTCGGCACGCAAACGTTTGCAACAGCCTTACGAAGGACTTTTTCACGTGATTTCCCGTCATAAGAAGACCTTCAAGGGTGACCGACATGACCGCGTCGAGATAGCACTGATTGTCTCAAGCCAGCACACGTCGACGACAATACCCTACCTGAAAAGTTGAAGCCCAATGCTAGACCCATCAAACCTACTATAGGGATCCCTACATCTGCTTCGGACCCCGCACTAGATACATCAGAGGCCTAATTCTCACGTCCCAGTCAACAGTACGTGTCATCTGCACTGTCTACGGGCGAGACTTCAGTCTCACGTCCAGATAAGCAAACCACGCCTCCCTTGACTTCGGACGAGATTAGAGTTTCACGAGGTATGAACGAGACTACCATCTCACGTTTCAGTCACCGAGTACGCTTACGCGTAAGCTTCTGTGACTAACCTCACAACCGACAAGGGATACGGTATAGGACTCTATCCCTATACTACATGCATGCTACACTTTTCTCTTTTACTTTGATTTTTTTATTTATCGTAAACGCACGCCTCCGACCACCGCCCTATTGGTATCGTCGACTTCAGTCAATCTTGGCGAAAGCTGGCCTGATCACCCACGCTCTAGTCAACGCACTCAGTCTCTCTCTTTGGCTCCAAATACGTATAGAAGAGACTCGTTTTGGATCGGGGTGTATCATAGTATAGACATGACGCTAATTTGACCACCCTCAGCTAGTGCTATCCGTCAAAACTAACACTGTCAAATGCTTACATAACTATTTACTCGAGGTGATAATTTACCGTTCCAACAGCACTACACATATATCGACCCATGATTTTTATTTAGTGACTCGAATATATGATACTACCCATGTAGCTCCTAAAGTTAAGGATTTTCTCACAATTGTCTGAAACAATTTTAAACAGGACGGCTCACTAAAACTGGGAGGCGCCAAGTCTTAAATGCTAGTTGCAAGTTTGGGTTTAAGTTTGATGGTCTACCTAGATCCGTAGGAACAAAGTAGAATATATTCTCAAGGGAATGCATACATTAGTAGTTTGTTCGTTCTTCTCATAGCTGGAGACGAGAAATCGCTTCAACATTTTTGACGGGAACAGTCTGCTACTGTTTGTTATCGAGGTCAGTTCATAAATTGTCACTTAGTTTATTTTTGATAATTAGTTTGCGGTTATGGGGTTATAAGATATCAGAAACACGAAAAGTTACATAAAGTGGTAATTATCCACAAAATTTCCATCAGGTAGATTTTTGTCCGAGCATCGTAAATATTGGTGTAGTGGTTTGTGTGATTTAATCCAGAGTGTATATAGCGCTTTTTGGTGTGTCCAGGGGATGTCTGTTTCGATGCTGCATATAGTTTTGGCATGTAACGCGTACATTTTTTTCGAAACGATTGTCATTCGTGTTTATGTGAATCTTCTGTTACTGTCGATTGAAAGCTACTGAATACGGCAATCCTCCTCGATATTATCACTGGAATTCCGGAAGTGAGGACTAGGGTGACGTCACTTTTCAGTTAGGTGAAAGGCCGAACACTATTTGGTCTTCATATTCATTCACTTCAGGCTGGAGCTCCTGGTTATATGGTTAAGCAAAACGTAACCGAAAGGATATTCTAATAGCAAATGCACACTATATTCCATATTATTTTCAGGACAAAATAATACCGCCCCGAAGTTTAAATTGTTCGTGCGTCATGACATTTAGACGAGTGAACTGTGAACTACCGTAAAACAGTAGTCATTCAATCTGTAGCTATACTTGATAGACAGTTCATTCAAGGTTCTATGTTGTCTAAAGTAAGTATTTGTCCTGTATCGAGCAAGTAACTCTAAAAAATGAAGATGTTACGACTCCTACTTGTCAGGTGCTATTTCGTGAGAACTGCTATGATGAATAACAGCTCATCACAGGGATTTTGCGAAATGTTTTTCACATGTAATGGGAGCCTTGCCGATTTTTTTTTACCAGTATCTTTAATTTTTAACTGGTTTACATTAAGACTGTCCTACGACCTCAAAAACGTGGATGTTGTTGTGAGACAATGGATTTCCTCCTGAATAAATGAAACTAAAGGACTCGTAAGTGCACATTGTGTTTTTTTCACAAAAGATATATCCATGGAGAAGTGCAGATCCTTTATGTCCCATCGGGTTACTTACATGAAATGCTTCTCAAACAACGGTATTATGCTGTAATTAATACCAAACTCAAAGGATCAGCTTCGTTTCAAACATTAATTATACGGTTAATTCACAGCATATATTTATTATAATACATTTCAGCTTAATTATTGAGTTCGTGTCGGGTCTTTTTCTGTACAAAATAGCTCTTGATATCACCCAGTTTATTTCAGCGTGTGTATATTTTGCAAATAATACTTATTTTAGATAAAAAAAACATGTTCATTATAAATTCTGACCACTATGTCAATTATTTGTGAGGGGGTCTAGAAGTCTGAGTAATTTTCTGTACACGTATGGAAGTGTCTGTTGGTGTCAATGTTCCTCCCCTACATCTAGTTGCACCCACTACCGCTCAAACGTAAAAATTCCGACCGGATCTCATTCTTTCGAGTGGTATCACGTAAAACCGGTTTAAACGACCCAAATATATCTTTTTGCTGCTGCAATCAATGAGTATTTCCAATCCTCATTCTTTATCCCTCACGCTAACCTATTTTTCTATTCTCTCCTCTAGCTTTTCGCCATAGCGAATATCTATTTCCTCGCCTTGGCAACAAAATCTAGCCTTTATACGACTCTGTAGAACCCTATACCTTCCTGCTGTTCATTCTGACCGGAATAATTTTTGTTTTTCTTGACTCCGCAACTTAAGTAAATTATGTAGTCTTTCTATCTGACGGCTTGTATGATAGCCTAGAAGGTAGTTGGTGAAATCCGTATTGTATGTTAAGAATTAAAACCCCAAAAACCGAACTGTAACTGTTCATCGCAACTGTACTCTTATAAACTTGTTCCTATTCAACTCCGTACCTACCGACATTCACTAGTAGACGACTGTGCGAATATCACCCATCATTTAAAGGATGTACTTGTTTTTCAACGTGTTTACATTAGCTCCTGAATATAAACAAGTCCAAATAATACTCTTTTTCAGTCTCAAAAAAAGAAATATCACTGCAAATGCTCAACCTTAAATTTTACCACAACTTATCTCGCACCTACCCGAACAACTCAAGCTCGAAATTAATACCTTCAGGATCTGATATTATTATCTTAATCTAACCACTTTTAACCCCTTTCCCACACATCCACATTATACCCTAAATGACTTATCGGAATACTTTATGGTTGCAATCATATAACTGACTGCAATCTTCGGATATTCTTAATCTATGTGGTTTGCTTTTTATATGCTGTGTTATACGCTTAGCACCAGGATCACTTAGTATTTCTATGAAACAATCAAACACTGTTTCTTTTGTACTTATAGTAGCTTTGTGCTTATTAATTACTAACATAGTCCATTCCATCATATTCTTGACACTATGAGGTATTAAAACAATCATCTGTGGTCAGTTTTTCATGCAACCAAACATGGTATGTTTGAATCATGTGACAACACCAAGTTGGAAGGTTAAAATCATTTAGTATTTTATTCGGATGTTTGAGTATTATTAGATGGACCAGTAGTCAACAAAAACACCAAGATGAATTTTATGGAATCACGTTGCATTTACCTTCCTAGCATTTTGAAGTGTACGAACATTCTTTAAAAGCTAAGGACACAACTCACGAAACAAAAACATCAAGGTTTGGAATCATACTGCAGATGTCCCACAATAAATACATTTGAGATACCGTTCATTTTTCAATGAAAACTGGGTTTATTTGGGGAGACGGTCTTACAAGTTGAAGTCTATAGCTTAACTGTACTGACTAGGTTGGTCTTGATATGTTACACCTATCCCATAATGTGTACAACTTTTAACAAGTAGTTACCCGCGAAATATTTGTAAGGTCTTCAGGATATATATACGTTGTATGAATCTTGACGTGTTTCCGTCTTACCATTCGCCAAAGCTCAAGTTAAAGTAAATTTTACTATCTGGAAAATTTCGCCCTTATGATGTTTTTTCGTGTTAAACTAGGAAGGTCTAAATTTTAAACTTGCAACCATCAGCTTTAGGGTGCTTTTCATCTGACATTTAAATAACACATCATGTGTTCGCTTATTAATGTTGTTCTCTAGAGCTTTGAGCAAAATAGTGCGATTCCGAGTAAATTATTCGAATAATAGTAAACTTCAGGGGTAACTTTGATACCTTTTTCAGTAATAAGTTATCTTCGGATTGGTACAAGTGTTCAATCCATTGCAATTCGTTTTTTATTAGATTGCAGATTTTCTGGGTAATGGAGATTTTGTGCAATTACTCTCAGAATCCAGTGGTTGGTTCTTCGAAAAGCAGTCACACGGAGCATGAACCAGTCTCAGTATCAGCCAAAGTGCAAGATACCACTGCTTCTCAGCGACGAAATATCAATTGCACCAGTTCAAATATCTTCAGTAGTCTTCAAAATGCCCATCTTCCTGTGGTTCCCAATCCAAATGTCTTATTTAAAAACGAACTAACAGAAAATTATTCCGACAATTTGACGCCGCGCATATCACCATATCTTCTTGGGATGCTCCAGTGTAGACCAGTTTCCTTACCTCTTACTCGGAACGTTGTGAAAGAGGGCTGGCTTATGAAACGCGGAGAACATATTAAAAATTGGCGACGTCGGTATTTCAAATTACGGGAGGATGGGACATTTTATGGATATAAAATTCAACCTAAAGTTGGTTTGAAATTTGTTTCAAGCTATTTTTGTATTTATCGTGATATGATTAATTGTTACTGTTTTTCTTCACTAACAATACCCAATCTCAATCATTATTCACATATGGAAAGCGAATCGGACATACCTGGAGAAGTTTTGGTTATTGCGAATTCTTTATTACTATACATCACATTAACTCTCAGCTTATTACCTTATCTCTGGTCATCTCAATCACTTATCAAGTTCATGAAGTCACCGTAGTTCTGTAAAATATGATTTTAATAGTTTGCTCAATGAAGTTAGTATATTTTTAGTGTCAGAACGTAACTTTGTTGATGGTCGGAGAAGCAAACTACAAAGTGTGTAACGATTAGGCGTAACCTATAATACACATAAAAAGTATTATATTGTCGCATCAACTACAGGCTATCTAATATTTTCTTTTTTTACATTCAAAGCTATGGCTATATTGTGTTTTAGGAGTTGTACTTGTCTAATATTGTTTTATTTTCTATTTTATGCAAGTGAAAAGATCATTACTTAGTAAGTTAAATTATTCCCAAAAGTCTTCATTGTTTGACAAAATAGTAAATCTCCACGACTAACACCTTTCTTAATCGACTAACATGATATACTTAACTTGTCTATTAAGGGACAATGAGATCAGTATATGATAGTTATATGTTCAGTTCTCCAAATATAATAAGTCTAATGAGTAAATATCGTTTACTAAAATACGTAGTTTGTCAACATTTTTTTTTAGGATGATATGGCGCAACCTTTAAATAATTTTACTGTTCGCGACTGTCAAATTATATGTTTAAACAAGCCAAAACCATACACATTTCTTATCCGTGGTTTACAATGGACCAATGTAGTGGAACGTTTATTCTTTGTCGAGACGGAAGCAGAAAGAAATTATTGGCTTAGCGCTATTCAAAGTGTCGCAAATCGACTCAAATCATCGTTTGAGCAGCCAGTATCCGTACATAATTTAAATTTGGCTGAAAATATGATCGTTGACATTCCTCAGAGGTTAGTTTAAACATAAAAACATGGTTTATTATTAGATTAGAAAATCAGTGGTTATCACATATTTGTATTTATAAAGTACTATTGATGCTGATAAAATACATAGTTTAGTTAGAAATTTATCTATGCTAATTATTTGGGACAAATCAACTCTCCGTATATGTAGCAAATCACGGATGAAAATACTCGAGTACGTTTTCTTATATTTGCAAACTGTTTCTACAAAAAAATATATTGTGAAGGTTAGGATTAAAATGCAAAAGTGACGATTCCACGCATTGAAACATCGTTCGAATTACAATGACATATTTTTAGATGGCTGAAACACGTAGTGCATATACCGGACCGATCCGGATGTTTAATTAAAGGTTACAATGAGAACAGGTCAAAAATGCTTTAGGAAAATTGGATAGTTTACTATCACTGATTGCTTATCAGAATTGTATCGAGTGCTTTTTAGATTGTTATCCAATTTGTACGTGAAAGCTAAGAATTGTAGATAATATTTTCCAGATCACTATTCATTGCTGGTCACAATCATATATGTATATATTGTGTATAATGACATTGAAAGTCTGTTCTTACCTTCTAGTCAGTAAAATACTTATATTTCATAAAATATCTTATTCCTTGTCTGGCTTATGTAGTTACACCCCAAAATACATTATATACATTGTCAGTCGAATACAAAGCATGTGATGATGACCTCTAGTTGGTGTCTAATAACTTTTAATGAGAAACCTGTCTAACCCTTTTGTCTTACTTTAAAATAACTTTTATTATTTTAGTCTAATCTGTGGCGCGTGAATGAACTATGTTTTTTACAGTCGCTCATTGAAATGATAACCATTAACTTGATTTGATTTCCAGTACTCATTACCTTATTTATTTTCGTGCATAACCGTGCATACTTTCGCGCGCTATTAATTTTATTATTATTATTATTATTATTATTATTATTATTATTATTATTATTATTATTATATCTCTGCCTATGAGCGTTTTAATATCTGACTACTTTGATTTTGGTTCTACATAACTCCAACTATCCACATATATTGATACTTGCTTTCTATTTATTTTGATTATTGCTTTTTAAACATTTTAATATTTTTTTCATATTATAGGCCTGTGAAACGTTACTCTGTAAATGACTTCAGACTTTTAAAAGTTTTGGGGAAAGGTACTTTTGGGAAAGTGATTTTGTGTCAAGAAAATGAGACAGGTCATTTTTACGCGATGAAAATACTAAAAAAATCTGTACTTATTGAAGTAAGTCGAATGGTCCTAATTATTATATCTAATTTTATCAGTTTATGTTTGGTTCTATTAAATGACCACCGTTTTCAACAGACTTTCAGTTGAGTAGATCTAATAAATACTGGTAACTAAAAGTTAAGGGCTTTCACTGATTGCTTTGAAATGTAGCATATTGCAGGTTTTTTTATCTCATGAATTTCTTAACCATTGGATACACAGTCTAAAAACCTACCTTCTCATATTCCAGTTTAGACAATTAGGTAGTATTGTAATGAACAGGAACACAGGCGGGAACAACCATTGTAAATACGAAATTACATTATCTTGGTAAAATATAAGAACCACACACTGGATACTTCATTTGTAAATTTTCATCATCTCTCCTTCACATTCTGTATGATTCTTCAAGTTCCCAATTCCTTTCTATTTCCCCTTCTGTTCTCTTCAACTGGATCTTCTTAGCCTTTTGCTGCCAGGTTTCCCACTTCCGATTGGTGTTACATACTGCTTATGTCTGTTGACATACGTAGCATGCACAGCATCATTGAAATTTCCCTTAAGTCTGAGTTTATGAATCTATGCTTAGTTATTAAGTTGCATTAAAATTAAACCTGTTTCTCATGTTATTGAAGTTGTAAACCATATTACTTCGTACATTCAACAGAGCATTACATCAATTGTTATCTGTTAGACACCTGATAAACTATTTTTATATAGCAACAGTTGTTATTGTTTCTTTTTTAAACTAACAATGATTACTGTTTACTATTATTGTGATAATTATTATTATCGCGTGAGTTCATTTTTTTTGTTTTCTACCACAATAACAGAAAGAAGAAGTTGTTCATACAATGACTGAAAATCGTGTGCTACAACAATGCAAACACCCATTTATGACAGAGTTACGTTATTCATTTACTACACCTAATTATTTATGCTTTGTTATGGAATATGTTAATGGCGGTGAATTATTTTTTCATCTACAACGTGATCGTGTATTCTCAGAAGAAAGAGCTAAATTTTATGGTGCAGAAATTACTCTGGCTTTAGGTTATTTACATCACCAGAATGTTGTTTATAGGTATGAAGAAAAATATCCTCGGAATCAATTTTATATATGTATAATTTCCCTTTTCTCTTCATATGTTGTATTTCATGTAATTTTGATTTTGAGAAGTACTCGGGGATAGTATTTTTTTTTACTGTAGCTTGTTACCTTGACACATTAGGCCTATATGCTATGACGACCTAACCGACACATGTTGACTGAAACATTTGTTCTTTGATACCATGTCACATAACCTGGTTTGATGGAGAGAGGAATATTATCAAACAATTCTAAAGGTAACTTGTGGTTTAAGTTGTTCAGTGATCAGTCTGCTACCCAAAAACCTTTATCAAATTGGAATAGATAACTGATATATCGATAGTGTAATAAGAGGATGAAGATTATCAGAACTATGTGATATATTTTTGCCTGTCTGTTTAAAACAAGTAAGAAAGCAATAATATATACTTTTCTCTGTTTACAAATACAAGATGTTATTTCAAGAAACTTCATGAATACTTGGTTGGACAATATACCGTGAACTAGTTCAGTGTATCGACCACTTCATTAACCTTCGAAACCTTATCAGTTCTTACAGTAGATTTTTGTTTTTATATCCAAAGATTTTTCTTCTAAGTGTGAATGGTTGATACAACACTTGGTGTTTTGTATTCTTGCTGTAACTTGACCAGGGATCTTAAATTGGAAAATTTATTGTTGGATAAAGATGGTCATATAAAAATCGCTGATTTTGGTCTTTGCAAAGAAGATATGTACTATGGTGCATCAACTAAAACATTTTGTGGTACACCGGAATATTTAGCACCTGAAGTTCTGTTGGATAACGATTATGGGCGTTCAGTTGATTGGTGGGGCCTTGGTGTAGTAATGTATGAAATGATGTGTGGACGTTTACCATTTTATTCAAGTGATCATGAAGTCTTATTTGAGTTAATACTGCAAGTAAGTCGGCCGAAACTGAGTTTTGTTATCATCGTATGCTTCTTCTTTCCTTTCCGTTCTTTTTTTGATATTTCAAAATGATAGAGATTTCAGTTTATTGTCACTTTGCCAGATCACTATGTTGTCTTTGTTTGGAAATACCAGATTTTCGTTTTTTTCTGAATGTCGACGCGGTCGTATCATGACTTAATTGTCTTCTAACATAGCAAAAACAAAACAAATAGCTCTATCTTATGTGAATAATTGCTAATCAGCTGCACATTTATATTTGTTAATTATGATAAAAATGTTAGTATGTTTTTTTGTTTCAATCGAAGTTCATACCTACCGAAAAGTTATAAAATTTTACTGGATTGTAAAATTTGAAACATCTTATTGGTTTATTGATGAGAAACATACGTAATTCCTATCGCTTAATGAAACATATTTTCATTCACATGTTATTCACTCCAAGCAAGACAAAGTGCAGTATTATGCTTTTTGGGAAATGTTTTGGTAGATATATGATATGGTAGATATATCTCAAGTTAAATGTGTCGCAAGTAACTAAATCCTAAACAAGCTTACTGTACGTGTCTTTTTATGCTATTATATTGCTAAGAGTGGAAATAGGGTTTTCCTACTCGGTATGATCTCATTAAATCGTGCGTTTTTGGCCCCATGAAAAGTCCTCGTTACTCCACGTTGGTAAGGTGTTCCTGCGATAATAGAACGGAAACGGACGTTTGGTGGTTAGACATAGCTGAAAGATACGAAAGGTTTACTTTAGAAGAGTTAGGAATCCATGATTCCGGACAAGTGATCCATACTAACTTCAGAGTCCTGAAACGTCCAATGCCTACCTTGACAATCAGCTGTCACGACATTACATGTAGCATCTCACTACTTTGTAGATATGATTTGTAAGGCGATCCCTTGAGAAAACTACTTAGTTCATTTGAACTTCCAGAATTTGTCAGAACCGTAACATTAATCATGACAATTGTAAGTGTAAAAAATGAAGAGTCAGTATCAATTTTATGATCTCTTCTCTGTCTCTTGACAATAATTGTCACTTCTTTTTTATTACTCAAACCTAGATATCTTACCATGTCAAGCAGTTAGTAGTTTGGATTTTTTATTATTCTATATAGTTAGGTATCAATTAGGTTATTACGAATAATCTTAATGTTTATGCAAATATTTTGGCAGTAGTAGTCATTCACATTATATCATATTTTGCCATTTTTATTACTTTAGGAAAATGTCTCCTTCCCAGCTCGTCTTTCACACCCAGCCCAAGATATCTTGTCTAGACTTTTAATTAAAGATCCAACAAGTCGACTAGGTGGTGGAATACAAGATGTTTTGGAGGTTATGGCACATTTGTTTTTTGCATCAGTCGATTGGGATCGTTTAATAAGAAAGTATGTTGTAATCAATAATAATGTATTTCTAGTTTGTCATTTTCATTATATTCGAGATATACTAATTGTTTAAATTAGTCACCAGAAGACTTGTTATAGCAGTGTTGATTTCTGTTTCGAATACAACTACCAAAATATTTCATTTGGATTGATTGTTTTGATTTTTCCATTGATGTTTAGGATAGCAATTGATCAATCTCGTTTAGCGTATGTGTATCCTGTGCGAATTGCCTCGATTTTGTCATTAAGTCATAGACATTATAAACATAAATGAATGGTGGCCAGAAGTGGGATCCAGGACGCGCGTTTTATCCTGGATCCCACTGCTAGCTACCACCCATCTCTGCTCATTACTATGGAAATAGTTTGAAAAAGATAAGAACCAAAAATTTTTGGTAGAATAATAATTCAATCTGTTTCTATTGTGAAATAACAATCATACTTAATTGCACCAGTGAAATCATCTTCAAACCTGAGGACATTGACAAATGAAACATGTTTTGCTTACCAGTGGACCGATTGCCGTACTATGCACTTGATCTCAGTCACTTGTCTTATTATATGCGTTTATCTTTGGAATTATCTACCGTCAGATGATTTGAATATTCTTATTTATAATCCTTTTATCATATTCCACATCATTTTAACATAGTTTACTTGACACAAGAAGGACATCTGAACATCTTGTTTATGTATTGATTGGACCGAATTTATGTTCTATAGTTTGTTGTGTGAAATGAATGGTCATTATTTTTAGTCATCACAAAAGATTGGCAGGATATATTAGTCATTAGTTATTTCTTGGATGTGAACATACACAATATCGTTTAAAATTCATGGTGTATATTAACTGGATTGTGTTTTAATTCATAATTCGCCAATTAAATTTTATCAGAAAAGGGGTTTTGTGGATATTATAGTAGTTTAATAGTTGAGTTCATGAGCCAATTTTATGTTGCTTGCATTCAACGGAATGGTTTACAGATCTTGAAGTATGCAACACATAAAGGTGTAATTAATGAATGATTTCAACAAACAGTACTAACTTTAGTAGACTTTACTGATACCTCACTTTATTATTATAAGGTATTTTTCTTCACATACAGATCACATTTCATATTACTACAAGAGTCCAGCTGTCCAGTTATAAAGTATACAATGCACTTGTTAGTCACGCTAACGCCTTCAAATCTTAATGTGTCTTATAGAACATTTTTAACTGTTAAGTTGGTCATTATCTTCAGATCAATGTATCTAACTCATTTACTTACATGCACTTACTTTCTACTTTTTAATCTCTTTTTTGCTTATCTCCATTATTTGAAATATCTTTCGTAAATCTTGTCTCTTTATCAAGTGAAAATCAGGTAATGAGCAGCTATCTGAGTTGCTATATTCCAAAAAATCAATATTACTAGTATATAGTTATTTCAATGTGTCTTCATTTTGGGATTTTAATCCTCATTCTCAACATTTACACAAATTCACCAGTAAGAGTTTTCAGATCATCTCTGTATGTGTAGAGGAGGCTATAAATTAAAATCTAAAATAAAGTAGCCCCTATTTTACGATTTAACTATCTCAATTGTTGATTTGCAACTTATCATTCCCTGTTTTTGCACTCAATCCAAGCAAATCTTTGACTGAACATAAATTATGTAATTTACTTGTCTCCTTATATTATTTGCTGTAAACCTTGTTGTCAATTCATCCAGGCTTACATCAAACATCTGTCACACTGCTAGAACTATCAGATATGGAAACGCCCCATTTACACTGTGAAATCCACTTATCCCAGAACTTGGATGGTATTAATTTTGTGCATCGGATACATTTGTGCCACTTACCGTCTTCCTAGCCACGTTCCAATATCTCATTAGTCTACCTTAAATTGAACAAATATAAACTCATGAATATTGAATGATGCCCTATTTTTAAGTTGATTGAGATTAAAAACAGATATTAAGTAATTTTTAAACCACTGGAGATGGTGCCGAAATAAAAAAAATAATTTTTGTGAACTCGATTCCTCAAAACAAAAAATAAATATGTTGACTTTTGGTTAGGTAAATATATTTCGAGCGTTTGTCGATCTCTATAAAGTCATGGAGGGCAATTATTGGTACATACTTCTTAACTAAGACAGTAGTAGCAACAAAATAGTAAATTAGAACCGTACATATTACACTTGAAGCAGAGATGGATGGTTAAATCCAGGAAGCGCGTTTCGTCTTGGACCCCACTGCTAGCCACCATCCATCTTTGTTTATAATACATGTGAATTAATGGTAATTCGTACAGGATATACGTGACTGATCAATTGCAGTCTGAAACATCAACGGGAAGATTTAGACTAATACAAATGAATTGTACCTATTTCATTCGCCCCCAAATGCCCTGGTACTGCTGAGGATGCGGAGAGTCTACTCTCCTCGAAATGCTCCCACATAGCCACGCATACACAGCCACTACTATTTTCCCACACACAAATCAGATGACTTGTGTGGCGCATATGTATTCGATGTCTCTTCGTATCAATATTTGTGTATTCAAATAAAGATAACGTATTTCATTCAGTGACTATTTTCCCAGTGACGTCACTTCAGCATAGTTTGCTAAGCTGTTAAAATTTAAGTTAACATTTAACGACAAATACAACTTACGTGATTTTTTCAAATTTGTTATTTTGTCTCATTTCTCCTCAGAAATAAATATTTCATATCCATAGCCTGCTGTGTACTATATATATATATATATATATATATATATATATATACATATATATATATATGTTTACTCATCTACTTTTTCAGAGATATTCAACCACCATGGAAACCAGATGTGGTCGATGAAAAAGACACAAAATATGTCCCAGATGAATTCAAGGATACATCAGTTGATTTGACTCCTCCAAACGATAATGAAGATAATATGAATCGAATTGTCGATGGACCATACTTTGAACAATTCAGTTTTCATGGAAGTCGACAAAGTTTAAATAGTAGAGTCAGTGGTTATAGTTTTGGTGACACATTTTAATAATGTGTATTTTACTATTAGTTCAATTGACTGCCTCCTACATGATTTAATTTTCTATGTACAAAAAAGAAAAAGAAATGAAGAGAATCTTATTATAACTCATACTTTTCACATAGATGAATATCTGGATAGATAGAAAACATTGTAAAACCTGGAAGTGCATGTGTGTATATCATCTAGTTCAATGTTTCCGATTATGAAGTATGTATAGATTTATTTTCATATTCATTCATTTTCACTTGGTTTTGCTTATTTTTTTCCTTTTCTTTTTTTTCGAATACTTGATATTATGATATAAATTTCATGTGAATTAAATATGTTCGGTTTTAATTGTTCTTAGAGATATGTAATTTTTGTCTACTATTATTTTTCATTGAAACTATTATTATTTCATTGCCTCATTTATTTTATTATTATTAGTAGTATCCCTTTGTGTGTTTGTAAGTGTGACATTTACAATTTTAGTCAGATTAAATCTCACTTGTTGGTGTTGTTGTCTTTATTATCTTCATTAATTTAATTTACTATTTTCACTATCTAGTTAATCTGTTTCCTTTTTATCTTTACCATTCCCCCTTACTTTCTCACATCATCATTTCAGTGTTGTGTTGACGTGTACACATACGTCTCCTCTTATGGATTCTCCCCCTTTTTTTATACATATTTATTGTTATCTTGTCGTCGTAATGATTTATGTTCATTCTACTTCGTTTGGATGTTTATCTATTCTGACACTAGGTTTTATTTTAGTACCTACAAGGAAACTAAACCCTTATTTCTAAGACGAAAATTGTTCTACATGCTCATTTGATGCATGTATAGCTGATCACCCCGCCTATTGTTCAGTAAACGAATACCAGGATCAATATAGACAGTATTACAATATTTACTATTTAATTGTATGATTTTCATTGATAAAATTCAATATATATATATATATATATATATATATATATATATATATATATATATATATAATTCATAGAAATAGAAAATTATATTGAGTGTTTCTCGTTTTTTTTGCTCATTGTGTGTCTGTTCTTGCTCGTTTGTTTGTTTTTGTCTATATATTAAGTTCACCATAATCTATGATTACCATTTATTGATTGTTTTCGATGGAGTATCTGTTACGTTTTTAAAAAATATGTATTTCTTTCCCAGTTGAAATAGAAAAGTTTAATATTGAGCAATTTTTATGTTGTATATTGTCAGCCGAACATCCTTCGGTTCATGCTTTTCAACTCCAATTTTATTGTACACTTATTGTTTTTTTATATATTTAGGATAATTAATTAACAAGTTTTTTAGCAGCAGTTCTCCAAATACACTTAGTATTGTTTGTTTGAATCTTCTTATTAATGTTTAGGACTGCAGTTGATCAGTCTCTTATTGGCATATGTGCATACTGTGCGTACTGCCTCGATATAGCCTTAATTTACAAACATTATAAGCAGAGATGGATAGTGGCTAGCAGTGGAATCCAGAACGCGCGTTTCTTATTTAGGACTCGTCAGCTGTATGTACCTGCATCTCAGAGTTGATGTTCACTCTGGGACTCGAACCCAGTATTTTTCGCTTCAAACGCCATCTTGTTATCCACTTAGCTACTGAGTCCCAGAGTAAACATCAACTCTGAGATGCAGGTACATACAGCTGACGAGTCCCAAATAGGACGAGATGCGCGTTCTGGATTCCACCACTGGCTACTATCCATCTTTGCTTATAGTTCTCCAGATAGTTTAAGCATTAATTGGATAACTATTAAAATGTGGAAATATTACGTATTTTCTTCAATCATTAGATTATTTAATATTGCATAACACTTCACGTCTATTTCTGCTATATGTGTTTTTAAAATATTATAATCATTTTATCCATGAATAACTTAGTTTAAAGATCCCGATAGAATATTAAAAAATGAACAATATTTGAGTGAATAATTGTTCTCAATAACTTCATCATCAGGCTCTACAGTTATAAGTCCATAATTAGGATATTTTATAAAGGCCAAAGTGAGGCATGTTTCGGATGATTTTACGATGTTATATGTTAAGAATGGTGAGCATTTGCATCTGTTACGACGTATGTAGCACGTTATATTTTGACGTTTACTTGGGAGCAGGAGCGACCTGAAACAGCAACACAACACTCAGGACAGACAAGTGTTTCTGAAGTGAGAACACGGTGTGCTGGTGCAACAGATATATTTGAAATTGAAAAACACGGTTTTTAGTACAAAAGGGGAAAGTTATTACAAAATAGTTTTACTCGTTATTCTGCAGGTTCAGACCGCGTAGGGCTTGTTCTTCTTCCTCCAGTGCATTCACTCTCTGTTGCCCTGCAATGAGAAATACAAACTCACATTATTAATGTCGCATGTAATGATTTTTATTACCGTTGTGTAGATTAGAACGGTCAAAATTGTTTGGAGTAAAGTATCCAGTCACAATCAGTATAATAGTAATATAAAAAAAATGAAAATGCAAAAATTATGTGAATAAAATTAATAGTAGGAGAATTTCATCTTGTCAGTTGAGATAATAGTGATAAATAGTAATAATAATGCATTTTCAAGTAAATATCTTGAAAAAGCTTGGACCAGATTACTAGGCGAAACGTTGGATTTACTTCAAATTCATTCGCTGAGATTTTACAAGTATATTCTTTCTATTTAATGCCTTACATCAACTCGGCGCCCAAATACTATGAAACTGTTCGCTCTAATTTAGACGAAAGTTCTTATAAATAATAATATTATTGTGTGAATATAATACGTAATAAGAGGGGTGTTATCAAGGTAATTTTGATAAACGAACTGGAAATGATGAATGTGAAGATTAAGATAGAGGTCATAGAAAAAATATCAATAGCTGATATCCAAACGTCAGTTAATTGATTCTATCACTCGATATGTATAATTTATCGTATTTCTTATTGATATTCGTTAACACTCTAGAGTTCACAATTCACCTTAGCGACTTATTCTTATGTTAGTTTTTGATTATGATGAAAACTTATCAGATTAATGACATTGATAGTGATGTGCTCATGATGGTTTTTCAGAATAAGCATAAACAAGTTTCTTAAGAATTTTCCTGTAAATTTAAATGAATAGTTTCACAGTGGTATCGAGCTGATTAAGTATAAAGTAAAAAAAAACGAATTTGTATTTGTAGAAAATTAGCAATTAAAATAAATCTAGCGTTTCGCTCAGTGGTGTGGTCTAAGTTTTAAACTCCAAAATTATCGAATACATGGTGCTGTCAGATACTTCTTTTCAGCATTCAAATATCTTAGTGATTGTCTGATTAATATGAACATTTTACCGATTTATATGTTGTAGTTCCAGTAAGTATCTATCTAATAACTGAGATGACAAATTTCAAATAGTATAGTCACTTTGTAAAGAGGAAGAAATGAAGAGAATATTATCATAACTATACTTTTCATATAGATGGATAGATAGACAGGAAAATAATGTACAACATATCTATTATTCTTTGTGACTTGTTCAAAGTCTATATCTGACACTAAAATCTTGTCTGACATTATTAATTTAAAATATGTATCAAATTATATGGTCTTATTCCAAATGTGTATATAGTTTCTAATGATTTTTTCTCTGATGTATACACTTGAACTTCTTTTGTACCCTAAATAACAATCATTTAAGTGAACTATTTAAACTCTAATGTGATAAATTCATCTTTTTTTTATAGATAATTACTAAAAAGCAGAAAGTATTGACTTTCCAATAACTATCTGTTTTGTATTCAATTTGTGTGCTATAGACTAAAAAAATTATAGATCAAAAGGGTTTTTGTGGAGATTTCATATCATATGTTCACTAGCGACTGGCTTCAAGGGATGTTTCCTTGAGTTCTAGTGGGAAGCAGTGACCAGTGGAGTTCAACCAAGTCTGTTGTAGAGATATCAACTCACTGAAGACAATTGGTGAACGGTTGCTCAAACATCGTGGATTGGTTGAAGTTAGACATTAACACCGTTAGATGCCGGCTCAGTGGTCTATCGGTTAAGTGCTCTGGCGCGAAACTGGTAGGTCCTGTGTTCGAATCTCGCGAGTGCGGGATCGTGGGTGCACAATGCTGAGGAGTCCCATAATGGGACGAAACGACCGTTCAGTGCTTGCAGGTTTTCGATGGTGGTCTAGCTTCAATTGACTCATGATTTCAACTTTAAAAAAATTAAACATAGTTTCCGCATATTTCCTATGAAGTAATAATAACTACCAATTTTGATTTATTTATTTTATTACTGTATACGATTGATTAATAAAAATTTAAAACAAAAAAATGTTTTCAGTCTTAATTATGTTGTGTCTATGTTTAAAATGTCTCAAATTCTTATTTTTGTTTTCTTTCCCTTTCGTTTCTTCTTTCCAGAATTAATTCCTTTCACGAAATTCTCTCTCTGTGTGTAGGGTACTTCAAATTGGTTTCTAGTATGTGCATTATTGATATATATATATTCGTTAATTCTTTTGTTATATTTATAATGTGATGATCATGCGCATCTGAATCCTAACCAGGTTTTGCCTTAATGATTGGTCTTTTGAATGATGAGTCTGATTGTTTGTTTTGATTGTCGATGCTTGTTTTAATTGTTTACTTAATTGATATGTCTGATTGTTATTTTCGTCTCTGAATGAATGTTTTTGTCTGTTAACCAGTCATTAATAAGGTGAACTATGGTTTTACAGGATATTGATTCATTAGTTTTCAATCTGATTATTGTTTTGTAAATTTTTTAATTTCAAATAAACACAATGCACTCACGTAAACATTTATATTTTCCATTCTTGATTATTACAGATAATAGTGCATAGTGACAGTAAGGGAATTCTAAACAACTGTGCAAATCGTAAGTAGTTGTTGGACTTTTTAATTCATTATAAAATTCTCTTGGACTTATAATACTTTGGTAAATGTATTTCGTTAATAAGAGGATATGAAATCCATATTCGCGAATGGTAATGTAGATGAAGAATAGTGGGTCTAGGCATTCGGTAACAAGATTAACGATTCCTGTGAAAATAGATTGATAAAAATAATAATCACTTTATCGAATAATATAGATGTTGTTCCAGTAAGAAATTTTTAGACCGAAATCGAAACCACTGCAGTGAAGTCTAATTTATGTGTATGAATTCTGATGCATTTGTTACTCGTTTTGACAGAGAATACACATAAAAAATGTGTACCAACTGTTGTGTCGCCTTCATTTAAGTCTCCCAAGAAATCTTGTGTTAGTTGTTTGAGTCGAATTCGTTTTTTTAAAGTTGCTAGGTGAATGCTAAATTAGTACATTTCTGTTGATAGAAACTTTTTAATGTCTGCTGTCGTACTGGCATGATGCAATATCTGATCACGAAAATGGGAAAAATAGGCTATCTAAACATTGTAGATTGAATATACTATCTAGATTCCTCAAAGTAATATGACCGAACTTGTAATTGAGGAGTAGGAAAATTATTGGGGACTAAAGTGGTGTATAAGTGATAATCACATTGAAATCATGAACCTACTCAAGTTAGAGCAGAACACCGTTGAAAACATAGAAGCACTAGACAGCCTTTCTTCCTAGTACGAAACTCTCCACTAGTGCCCATCCACTATCCTACCTGCGGGATAGTTTCTTGATGCGAATGAAATCCAACAATTTCCACAGCCCCTTACTGATAATTAATTAGGATGAATAACATATGTCACATTGAAATGATGATCCTCTCATCTCATGTCCTAAAAGTGACCAAACAATTTAGTCATGAATATGTTACCCTTAGGAAATCCCAATTTGTAATAATCTTCGGATATTTCGTTTTTTTTTTTGTTTTACCCTATAGAAATGGGGTTTGTATTGAAGTTTCCTGTTCGATTTTTGACTTCACTTGGCGGTTCATTGAAAGCCTCATCTTTGAAGGCTGCAGTGGTATGTTCAAACATTTTTATGTATGTATCTGTACAATTCTGTAAAAATAAAATTTATCTGAAAATGTTTATGTTTAGAAAATAAACAATAAATTTATTGTTTACAGAGTTTCTAACCTAATCGAATCGACAAAGCTTTTAGGTTAATAACTTTCTAGTTAAGATTTATCCCCAGCCATTATACTTTTTGGAATCCTGTGTGAATAGGTCTTAATACAATGTCCAGTTGTATGATTGCATCCGAATATTGAATACATCGTCTAGATTGCCTATATAAAACTGATGATCTACTAACCAAATGACACGACGACCTTCCTTTGACCACCGATTCAATGATGTTAAGACAACAACCATGATCAATACTTAAATCCTATTTGTTCAAAATACAGTTCTCTCACGCCTGCTTACCCGATAGCCAGAATAGAACAACAACACAGTAGATAGATGACTTAAATGTTTACAGTTCAATTCATAATTCAAACTAGTGTGACCTGTAAAGACTAATTTTCAGACTACACACAAAGATAAATAGGAAATTACAATATGGGCTTAGGTATGCCGTATATGAAAGAGATCGAAATAATAGGTCCATAATTAATTAACAGTAACTTGCGGAAAATAAAACAAAACAATATTTTCTGTACCAGACAAAATCTTGCAACTATATGAATGTACGATAATCCAAATGTCTAATGATTATACAATAAAAATGTAAGTGATAGTCCTTCAAAAGATAGTCCCACTCTATTATAACACTAATCATATTTATTCATGCATTATTTTTGCTTTTATCACATTTTCAGTCTACAAAACATCTTGTCGCTTCACCAACTTTCTCCCAATTCAATTATATTATCCATAGACAGTTTTCTGATACCCCGTCAGACAATTCGGTAAACAATGTTTCTGATTTAGTGAAAGGAAGTCGTATTGTGCTTTTTATGAAAGGGAATCCAAATGAACCACGATGTGGTTTCAGCAATGCTGTTTGTCGTATCCTAGAAATGCATGGAATTCTAGAAAAAGCAAGTAAAGGTGATGATCCAGAATTGTTCGCATCGTATGATGTCTTAGAGAATGAAGAGCTACGAGCTGCTGCTAAAGTGTTTGCTGACTGGCCAACTTTCCCTCAGTTATATTTTGACGGTGAATTTATTGGTGGTTGTGATATTCTCCTAGATATGCATCGTTCTGGGAAACTTACAGAAGAACTAGAACGTCTCGGTATTGGTTCTGCTTTAGCAAAAGTATCAGACAAAGAGAAAACATGATTGATTATCTTTTGATACTTTGAATTTGTACAGTATCCCTATTTTCTGTTTGATAAAAATATGTTATACTGTAGCACTGATGTTTAGTCTTAATTTTACCCATAACATTTAGTTGGTATCTTTTTATGATTGTTTTAGGTTTTCATCTGCAATTTTCGAATTTTAACAAACCATTATTCGACGAAATGCAGTAGCCATGTATTATAACGAATGATATTATATTTTGTTGTTTAAGCTATTGTGAGGATTACGTTAGACCAAGCACAGCTTACCTGCATATTCTAAAAAGCAATATCATCATAACATTATAAATTTTTCACAATTAAAGATTTACTCTTACATGAAGCGTTCATTCTTGCCTTATGATCTGTTACTGGAATAATGTTGCATTTACAACGAATAGCGTTCAGCTTATTTATAAATATCACTGCGTTATGATTGATAGTAACCTGGAACTTCCGAATTAACCGGTTTCCTGATCTTGTGGCTTATTAATGTGATGTGTGGGCAGGAATGATAATGATTGATTGTTTTGCTCAGTAAGACTTGTAGATAATCCGACAGGTGTTAGATGAGTTATATATTTTCGTACCCTTATTATTTATCATTGATTGTCCATTTGTTGTTGGATTGTGTCGGTTTGGCGTGTAAATATATTTACGTTCTAGTCAGGCTAATCACGTGTTCTTGATCTGAGTTGTGTTGAAGTCTTGTAGAGTAGACACTGTGAGGGAATCTAGTGTAGATATTCGTATGAGGTAAATTAACGTTCCATTCGTATCAACGAAGAAACCCTAGTGTCATAACATAATGATTGTTGCAAATTATTTGACACTTTGTAGCGTTTTGAGTATAGTCTCTCGAATTACCATATCAGATAGTTATTCAAAGTTCAAAGCGGCTCTCTCATTTGAATTGCAGTAGTTTTAAATGAAATTTGCGGACTATCAAAATGATGACATTAAAAAAGACTTAAGGTTTATTTGTACTAGTGTCCGTTTGCTGCGGTCGGTTTCATCCCTCAAGATAGTTTACAAAATTTAGTACTTCTAAATGTATGTACAACCATGTCAAAATGCTTTGAACTCCCGTTCCGCCTAGTAGTTTTCTGCTCAGTGTATTAATGTGCATGGAATTCGGTCGGCATCAAGTCTTACTCTCCTCGTTGTTGGTATTCTTATCAAACCAGTCAACATCCTAAGGAACTTGCTCAAGTAATTTTTAATAACTAAGATGTGAATTCAAGCTTCCATACCATTCTGGACATTATTTCGTTGTATTTCTTGTACAAGCTCTTCCTACCTTCTATACCTATCTTATTTTCATTTACTTATCTCAATGGCAATACATCTCATCTCAACAAATTTACCATATTCTTCCACTTTTGCGATCGTTGTAATATTAGTAAACGGTAAAGGATATTGTTTTAATGACTCTGTGTTCACCCTTAAGATGTTTTAGAAAACCTCAAACGTTAGATCTTGCGCTTAAGATTATTGTGAAAAATAAACAGCTTGATATGATTGAATTCTGGAGAAAAAGACATTAAGAGTTTGTGAGATTTTTTAAAGGACATCGATCACAAATTCTAAATGAGTTATAAGATAAACGTTTTAATAAGATAAATCCTACGTCTATTCCCCTCCAGTTCTTACATTTTGCTGGATAGGCTTGCATAGTACAAAGTAAACTCATATTTGTAGCCAGTTCATCATATATTGATAATATATCCATTATTCATTGTCACATGTTCTGTATAAACACCCATAGTATTCATGTAGCTTAGTGAATATAGACTCACGTACTATATATCTTAGTCAATTATATTCACCTAGAACTATGCAGATCAGAGTGGAGAACTGTTCAAAGAAATCGCTTACTAATAAATCTGGACGCGTATATCTGTAGTATGAATTTATGTAAGACTGTTGAAAGTAAGATAGAAACAATTGAAATATACAACTCCCATCTGGTGCTTGTTAACTTTTTCCTTTTTAATCTATAAACCCTGATGACCGTCAATACTTCCTATTAGTAACGTTTGTAGAAAATAGCATCGGTCTTGACAACACTATTGCTGTTGTTAGCACAAAGTACTTGTATTGTTAATAGGTAAACGACCTAAACATCCCAGTCCGCACATATGCCAACAAGAGACTGATCAATTGCCGTCCTAAATAACAATAGGAAGGCACAAATGAATATAACTTCACTACATTGTACAAGCAGGTAGTTATCAAGACTCAGTAGCTAAGTTGATAACGTGATGGCGTTTGAAGCGAACAAATATTCTCTTTCTAAGTTATTTCTGTATGTCTGTGAGTGATTGTTATATGATTACCTAAATTAACTAACCGAATGTCAGGAGTCGTCATCAAACATTTGCTTTATGTCCACCAGTGAAATAAATTCTGTTATTCTTTTTTAACTACTGACTAAATTTAAGTAGTAAACAAACTACAAATACTTTTTCGGACAACCGGTAAAGGGGTTGTTTAATGACTACAGATCATTTCCTTATCCTATTAGGGTCACTGGTATACTAATTAGATGGTGGATTTGAGACACATATAATGAAGTATGTCTGCATATCTGTCTGTGCTGAAATGATTTTTCAACTACTACACCCGTTCTGATTAAAGTCTTCCAATGAATTGGTTTTGAATGAATTAGGTTTCATTGAGATTATGAGCTGGCTGAGTTGGACCACTTAAAGCACTAGATGATAGTTTCATCCTGAAATGGGACTCAGCAGTGCTCATCCAGGGTCTCATACGCAAAAGTCGAAGCCAGGGCCCTCGGTTTAGTACACAAACGCTTAATCTCTAAACCACTAAGCTGGCATCCGACGGCGTTCGCGTTCGAGACAGAAAGTCTTGGGTTCGATACTTGAATACAATATCGTTGATGCACTTTGAAGTTCCATACTGGGGTAAAATGGCCGAAATAAGTAATTAAAATTTTGAAATCACAAGAATGATATTTTGTTTAAAAAAAAACCCACTAATTTATCAGATAATAGTTCTTCACACCTAATAACTCTGACGATTCCCTTGACTAGCTCCTAAAGGTTTTGACTTATTCCTGTTTTTCAATCTAAATTGAATACTCGCTAAACAAACAAAAAAATGGAATAATTTATGCTTAAAAATGAAAAAAATAAATACAGAAACCACAAAAAAATTATATCTAGTCAGTAAGGTCAATAGCAGTTGTGTAATTCTGATAATAAAAAGGGGGTTTAAACTAAGAAGAAGAAAAAAACAAAGTATGTTTATTGTTCTAACTTTTATGATTTTAATGAATTCAAATTTGTGTTGAAGTTTTTTTTTAAATTTTTTTATTTTTGGCTTCTCTTGACAATATGACCATGGTTCAAAAAAGAAATAATAAAATTGACTAAATTCATTTGCAATGCAAAATTTTCGAATATAAATTTTTCAGATTAACTAAGTAAATTTTTTTTATTTGTGTCGACACTTTTTATTTTTTAATGATTTTGAAACCAAAAAAATTAACAGAGTTGTAGTTTTTTTTATTTTAGAAAAAAATAAATTGTAATAAGTTGGATCTTTTTTAATGACCTTAAACAGAGTTTTATTGTATAGAGGTGTAAGTAGGGTGGTTTTTTTCTTATCTCATTACATTTTATATTGTAACTATGAGTGATTTCAATTCAGTTAGTATTGTTTGTTTGAACCTTCCTATTGATGTTTAGGATTACAACTGGTCAGTCTCTTATTGGCCATATGTGCATACTGTGAGTATGGCATCGATATAGCTTTAATTCACAAGCATTATAAGCAAAGATGGATAGTGGCTAGCAGTGGAATCCAGGACGCGCGTTTCGTCTCATTTGAGACTCTTCAGCTGGATGTACATGCATCTCAGAGTTGATGATCACTCTGGGACTCGAACCCAGTATTTTTCACTTCAAACGCCATCGCGTTATCCACTCAGTTACTGAGTCCTGATAGCCACTCCTAAACATCAATGGGAAAATTCAAACAATCAATAGTAAGCGAATTTAAACTTCACCCCATGACACAAGCAAGTGGCTATCAGGACTCATTAGCTAAGTGGATGGCGTTTGAAGCGAAAGATACTGGGTTCGAGTCTCAGAGTGAACATCAACTGTGAGATGCATGTACATCCAGCTGACGAGTCCCAAATAGGACGAAACGCGCGTCAAACTGGATTCCACTGCTAGCCACTGTCCATCTTTGCTTATTAGTGACTTCGTATGAAATATTTTGAGAATAAGTTTTGAAAAGGAAGTTTCACTTTGTTTTAACCTACATTCATATAGGGTATTTATTCTTGTATGTTAAGATAATCATCTATTAATTTGAAGTTCTTATTCCTCTGATTTGTTTTCTCTCCTTTTTTATTAAATTCTTTATTATTTAATGTGTTATTTGGTGTTTTTGTTTTCAAAGTCTCTTGTAAACTATATACATTGAAGTGTTGAATAGTGATTTCACTTTTCATAAGAACTATAAAATCTCTTACAAAGTTTGTTCGAATGTTAAGAACAGTTTAAAAGTTGTTTTCTCTTGTGTATTGTTAGATTATAGTACAAACTGTATCTTATTAAGTGCAGAATATGATGGGGCTATTAATAAAAACTAAGGTTCACTAATGCTCATGAATAAGGTCGTTTCTTTCTTATTCGATACCTCAAGATTATTGATGGTGTTTCACAGACTTGCTATTCAACACACCTATTTTTATATCAGAAGGGGTTTTGTGGATATTATAGTCCCACAATAGGATGAAACGGCCGTCCAGTGCTTCCAAGTTTTTCATGGTGGTTTAGCTTCAATTGATTCATGATGCCAACTATTAAAAAACACCTATTTTAATTGAATAAAAAGAGTCCTATGAAATATAAAGATCAATGGTTAAGATCTACTTTTAATTAATTGTTGCCTCGCATTGATACCATTCATTCTGACAAAGTATATAGCTTGCTCTAATCATAGTATATAGGTATGAGG